CAAACAGCCTCTCTATACACTCTGATCCTGAATCCATGGTTATTAATTCCACTCTTAGCCTTTGTTTAGCTCTTCAAGTAACTGATATTTATAGCTGCTCGGCTATCACCGCTCTACCCACATCCTTTTTTCAGAGCTTCCATGTGCTATTTGGTGTCATTACACACATCCAGATGATACAGTACACCCACTCAGATCCACAGTAGGCTACACAACACAAGTCCAACTGGGAATGGCATGCGCTCTACGAAACCAATCAGGGCGCTTCCCGGCAACAGTGCAAGGCACACTGGGACTCATTAAAAACAATAACTGTCTCAAACACCCAGGCAGTCCGCAGACTCTGCACACACTGACGATGGAGACCAACCCCAGGAAGATGTTTATTTTTAAACAAGCATGAATTTGAACAATGAGAGGGATTATATAATGATTGTGTCAGAATTCTCTGAGGGAACATGGCTGACTCATTCAGGATTAACAGAGACAGACTGCCTTCTAAATGGCACCCTATTTCCCATAATGCACTACTTTTTACTAGGGCCAATAGGGCTCTGATCATAAATAGTGCACACTAGGGCATAGGGTGCCATTTGGGATGCAAACAGTCAACAGTGGCTCCAAAGCTAAAAAAACAACAACATTTTGATCAGCTCTCTTGAATGCTGTACCATTCTCCTCCCTATTCCTATTCATTCATTCCTATTAATTTCGCTAAATGATTTTTCCAGTTAGAGTTTCACTGAGAGCATTGTGGGAACTTACAATGTTGTTAGACTGGCACAGATCGAGACAAGGTGAAAGACCAACAGTCAGAGGGAATAAGACAGGACAGACATATAGGCCTGCAGTTTTATTGAGAGGCCTACTCAGAAAGTAATGGGAAGACAGACAGTACAAGACAAAACAGAAACAGAGAAAAGTCAAACAAAATACATTGTCACTTTCCAAACGTACAGATGGCAACTGACTCCTCCATGATCTGATCTTGGTTCAGAGAGAGAATGATACCGCAGGTCACCACTCCCACACAGACACTACACACATTGATTCAGGATCAGTGAGATGACGGCATCCCTGCTTATCATTCTGACAGGGGCAACAGAAACACTCACCTCTCAATTCAGCTCTATGCCACCTGGTAATAACCCTACCGTCTCTGCACTGCAAGGCAACCTCAAAAAAAGGGACCATTTATCCACAATGGCTTCTACAGTGCTATGAAAAAGTATTTGCCCCCTTTCTAATTTTCTCTACTTTTGCATATTTGTGATACTGAATGTTATCAGATCTTCAACCAAAACCTAATATTAGATAAAGGGAACATAAGTGAACAAATAACACAACAATTTCATAGTTGGGTTTTCGCCAGGCATTACTGGAACCATGTCGTCCAAAAAGTTATACTTTTGAATCATCTGTCCATAGAACGTTCTTCCAAGAGTCAAACTTGAGTCAACTTTTTTGACGAGATGGGTCCCATTATGCCTGGCGAAAACCAAACACTGCATTCCACAGTAAGAATATCATACCAAAAGGTCAAGCATGGTGGTGGTGGTGTGATGGTTTGGGGATGCTTTGCTGCCTCAGGACCTGGACGACTTGCCTTAATAGAAGGAACCATGAATTCTGCTCTGTATCAGAGAATTCTACAGGAGAATGTCAGACCATCCATCTGTGAGCTGAAGCTGAAGCGCAGCTGGGTCATGCAGCAAGACAATGATCCAAAACACACAATCAAGTCTACATGAAAATTGCTAAAAAGCAACAAATTGGAAGTTTTGGAATGGCCTAGTCAATTGAGATGTTGTGGCAGGACTTGAAACGAACAGTTCATGCTTGAAAACCCACACGTCACGGAGTTAAAGCAGTTCTGCATGGAAGAGTGGGCCAAAATTCATCCACAGCGATGTGAAAGACTGATCAACAACTACAGGAAGCATTTGGTTGGAGTCATTGCAGCTAAAGGTGGCACAACCAGTTATTGAGTGTAAGGGGGCAATTCATTTTTCACACAGGGGAATTGGGTGTTGCATAACTTTGTTTATGAAATAAATATGTAATTGTTGTGTTATTTGTTCACTTATGTTCCCTTTATCTAATATTAGGTTTTGGTTGAAGATCTGATAACATTCAGTATCACAAATGTGCAAAAGTTGAGAAAATTAGAAAGGGGGAAAATACTTTTTCATAGCACTGTAAATGTTATACACAAAGTGTTAAACTAGGGCAAGGCAGGGAAAACCGATCAAAATACCTGTATAATGGCAGATTTCCCTGCCAAGACTATAATCAACCAAGGTGTATGTGCTACCCTTAAGAGATTACTACCATGTCATTAAGGAAATATCTCTCTAGAGAAAGGAAAATAACAAAATGCTTACAAATCGCATAGTAGATGTCATGTAGTGGTATAAGGCACTGCATCACTAGAGATCCTGGTTCGAATCCAGGCTCTGTCGCAGCCGGCCACGACCGGGAGACTCATGGGCGGCGCACAATTGGCCCAGCGTCGTCCAGGGTAGGGGAGGGAATGGCCGGCAGGGATGTAGCTCAGTTGATAGAGCATGGCGTTTGCAACGCCAGGGTTGTGGGTTCGATTCCCACGGGGGGCCAGTATAAAATATATATATATATATATATATATATATATATATATATATATATATATAAAATGTATTAACTAACTGTAAGTCGCTCTGGATAAGAGCGTCTGCTAAATGACTAAAAAATTTAAATGTAAAAAAAAAATGTAGTATGTTTTATGAATATGACATCAATAAACTCATGGGTCACACATAGTTCTCACTTTAATGGGGCAATCTGGGATTGGTACATCTATTTATGGATTTTTAAATTAATTATATATGTGTCTAATAAACTGTCTAACCCCATAAGGACCCAAAATATAAGCTTGTTTTACTCCAATGTTTGAAAACAATGTAAATGTAAACAAATACTGTATAGCTTCAAAACATGGTTAAATCGAATATTAGAATAGTATACAGTAGTTGATTATTTTAATCATTAACGTTAACCTGGGACACTCACTAAGTTTATGTCCTGAAGTTTAGAAGTTTAACCCTGTCCCTGACACAAGCAGCCTGCCCTGTTTTGATTTTCCTTTATGGACTCATGTACAGAAAAACTTTTTCCCTGAATAGTATTAGTGAGAAGACGTAAACGCTATTTTTTGGGGTCTATTTTAGTTTAGTTTTTCCATATACTATACCTTCCGCGGATCATACGGCAGCTGAAAAGCCCATCTTTCGCACTGCAACAACTGGGCAGGTAAGTATCTTTTTTACTATAATACAAATGGCTACATATTGACCACGACTGTCGACTTACCATATTTGCTGTCAGCGAAGGTAGTTGAAAGAGACTGGCAAAGATACAACACAGCGAAGATGGAACACGGCAAATCCATTAGGCTACTCTTTACTAATCCATTGCACACCTTTGATAAAACATCATAATGTCAGTTTTAGATAAAGATGGTCGAAAATCGCTGGATGAAATAACAGCGTGTGAAAGTGGAAATATGAGATTTGCGGAGCAATGTCTCGGGTCCGCCACTTCACTCCTGCAGTCGTAAGAGGATTCAGCACCGCGAACAGCAACCTTCAGAAGGCGCCCCTCCTAAATTCTGACGTCAAACAGGCATGGCTAGGGGCCCGTGCATGGTCTCTGAGCATGCACCTCATGCAGTAATTAATGATTCGCCAGTCTAACCACGAACATGGTACAATACCATTTAAAGAGTAAACAGACAAAGTGAAATTGAACAGAAGTTGATGAAATAAAAAAATTAAAAAAACTCTAGAGTAGGCAAACAAAAGGTAAAACTAAAATATGCAATACATCCAAGTGGGCTAGGGGGAAGTCTTCTCAAGTCTATCTCAGAAAGCCAGTCACTCAGTACACTATTTATATTCATAGAGGGGACTCGCACCAGTGTTCAATCACAAGCTGTAAGGGAATGCAAATGCATCGCAAATGGCACCCTATCCCCCCTATAGGCCCTGTTCAAAAGTAGTGCAGTAACAACAGTCTAATGTAAATGAACGCATTAATAGTGGACTCAGCATCTGAATAAACCATCAAGTTAATATAATTGTCTGTATAAACAGTAGCAGGATAATTATATAATACCATACCATAATATATAATGGCTACTCAAGTTTATACAGAATACTTGTAAAAACCATAGATGGGTTGGTTGGTTGTTTAGCAACAAAAACGATGCACGCGCAAGCATGGGGCAAAACAGATGCGGTTGGCTTAGATTGTTGACATGTAAGCTATATTTCGTCTCCATAAATACATTTGCACAATGACCACTTGTCTCTCAAATACAATTTTACAGTTGTTGGTTCGGTAGCTGGCGAATTTTAGCCATATTAGCATTGACATTAAATCAGTCAATACACCTCAAAACAAGACATGGTTTCAATCACAACATGAAACAAGCTGAAACGACCCACTTACGATTCTCCACATTGCAGTTTCTTGTCATTCTTGCTAGCAATCTGGCCATTCAGAATCAGAACAGGCTGACTTCTTCACCATGGAAGCGCCCACATCGTTTTCGTGAGTTGTCAGCCAACCCATCTACGGTAAGACATGTATGACTTACTTGACTTTTGCGCTCTGGAGAGCTCGGTGTTTTCCTCCAGCGGGTTCGGTGTTGGGCGGTCTTCACTTCCGTCAAGGATGTCCCTCCACAGACCTTCTCCAGCTGTTCCTGGGTCTTCCTGGTGATCTTTCCCCTGTGTGTTTCAGGTTAATTAAAGCCTGTCTGGAAAGTCTGAACGGTTTGTGTTGGGTGGAGCAAAACTAAACGCTAACAAACCAAATTTCCATCAATAAATTGTTCTAACATAATACATATGATAAAATACAATTTGTAGATGGTATAGGTCAGATGATTTCCTTAGAGACATTTTAGAGAGAATCCACAATGACAAGGTTGAAACTAAAATTTCAATTTATTTTTAGCAGTTAACAATGTTACACACAGTTCAGTTTATGCAGCATAGCTATATATACACTGAGGCAATACATAAATCCAAAGCACAAGTTACAAGTCATACTGCATACACCATGATTACACAGAATAGAAAAGCTTAGAAAAATAGAACAGAATAGAACAATAGCTGACACTGGCAACACAAAAACTATTCGAAAATGTTAAATATGTGTGTTAAAAATGTTGACGTTCTCTCGCTCTTGTCCCCTCATGGGCATGGCATCAGAATCTCATTTAATGTCTTGATAGCGGATTCGTAGATTACCCTAGAGAAAGAGAAAACATGTTTTAATTTAATGCCATTTTTAGGTTGCTATTTTGGCATTCAAATATAATTTGCCCTCCCAAAATTCCCAGTTTATGAGCATGTTTCCTTAACGTTCAGGGTACATGCGATTCTAGCTAGCTAACAACTCTAAAATACTTAACCGTCTTACAACATACAAAAGGTACTAACAGAATTCTCTGTGGAGGTAATGTCGGTACGTCCCAAATGGCACCCTATTCCCTATATAGTGCACTCTCTTTGACCAGAGCCCTATGGGCCCTTGTCAAAAGTAGTGAACTACAGGGTGCCATTTGGGACACTACCCTTGTAACGTTCGTTAGTCTAGTCACCTCTGGATGTGTTCTTCGTTCTCAGCCGTGACAGCGTAATGTTTCTGAAGCTGCCTCTGGACGGACACGGCTGTACTCTTCAGATCTGCCTTAAACTTCCCAGCTGGAAGAAAAACAGGCACAATCATTACAGGCCAGCTACACTGGACATGTAACTTCTTGCATTTATTAATTTAAATGAAATCTGGGCATAAGCAACCGGCTCAGGCCCAAGAACAGTTGATAAAGTGGCACGCGTTCTGCTCACGCTGGCAAAAGTTACGCTCCCAGTGTAGCAGCTAAAAACCTGTAGCTCCTGTCAGAAACTAATCATAAATGTGGAAGCAAAACATTGTTTAGACCAAGATAAAGGATGTCTTTATTGCAACAGTTTTACTCACTCTGTCTGACAACTGCCAGAATGTGAAGAACTGCAGCCAATCCGGTCAGACCATCAATGACCTCTGAGTCAACAGTTGAGTTGATCTCTGCCAGGAAGGCCCTAAAAAAGAGAGGAGACCTTGGATTAGAAACAACTGAGGAAAAAGTACAATATTTGATTTATCACGGTCTTTATATGACATTGTGTGGTGTTGACCGTGTTTGTTGTGTCTGTTCTGTTTCTTATTACTCCTTTTTGTGTGTGAAAAATCTATAGAAATCTTAATCACAAAGAAAGAAACCCAACTCAGCCAGTGTGCGTAGTCATAGAAAGCAGCAACTCTTGGGGAGAAGTTACCTGGTGACAGGGGGCGATTTGAGGAGAACATCCAACAAGATGCTTGAGAGAGGAGGCAAATCCTGGACCGTCTCTGGTCTTGTGACCTCTTGGGGATGTGAAATCTAAGACAGAAAAGTTGGGCGCAAACAAAATATAGTACATGTTCTTAATACGCAACCTATCAACATTGTGAATTACATTTTCTATCTAGGAAAATTGTGTTTGTAGTGAATCAGCCATCTTAGTTTGCTCTTACCCTTTGAAGCGAGTGTTGGCTTGCCGCCAGGGTGGCAGCACAAATGGTTGAAAACACCCCGTTTAGGGGGTTGGAGTTGAAGCCCGACCATGCCTGAACGACCTGGAGGAAGTCTCCTAGAGCGTGAACAGCCGAGTGCCACAGCTACAACAGCCAGGGGAGAGAGAAACAACCTTCAATTATCTATTCACATTTGCGAGCTGAACAGGGGCCATAATGTATTATGCGTCTAAGAGTAGGAGTGCAATTCAGTTATTTAGATCACAATGAATATGATTAAATGGACAGGGGGGGAGCTGATCCTCAAGCCTACTCTGAGAAGCTTGATACATATGGCCCCAGTACTGCTTCGGTTGTTGGGCCAAATAGGTATTATTTATAGACACAGCCATTTAAAAACTGATTGAAGAGACTACCTCTAATGATCTAAGTGTGCGTTTTTGATTGACACTCAAACACACACCAAACCACAGTCAATAAAAAGCCCTTGGTTGGGGCCTCCCGAGTGGCGCAGCAGTCTAAGGCACTGCATCGCAGGCGTCACTACAGACCCGGGTTCGATCCCAGGCTGTGTCACAACCGGCCGTGACCGGGAGTCCCATAGGGCGGCGCACAATTGGCCCAGCGTCGTCCGGGTTAGGGGAGGGTTTGGCCGGGGGGGCTTTACTTGGCTTATCGTGCTCTAGCAACTCCTTGTGGCGGGCCGGGCGCCTGCAGGCTGACTTTGATCGTCAGTTGAATGGTGACTCCTCCGACACCATTCGCGGCTGGCTTCTGGGTTAAGCGGGCGGGTGTTAAGAAGCGGGGTTTGGCAGGTCATGTTTCGGAGGACACATGACTCGACCTTCGCCTCTCCCGAGCCCGTTAGGGAATTGCAGCAATGAGACAAGATCATAATTGGATATCACGAAATTGGGGAGAAAAAGGGGGTAAAATAAAATAAAAAATGTAAAGCCCTTTGTTGATACGGCGACTGATTTCCTATAAATAGTGGGAAGCAGCCATCCTCCACACCTCCTGGCCCTCCTCGGGGTCCTTCCTCAGGTGGCGAGCCATGATCTCCAGGATCTTCTGGAAGACGTTGGTGACCACGCTGAGGATGATGGAGGACTGGTCGTCCTGGGCCTGGTTCTCGGGGACGTAGTTCTCCGCCACCTTCGTCAGCACAGAGAGCAGCAGGGGAACACACAGGTAGCCCTTCTCTGAGAACACAACAACACACACCCACCTAGGTCATAATTCCTCACAGACACAGTGAAAGACTAGGTGCACAAGTGGCCTAGTCAGTGGGTGTTCCAGTCAACAACAATTCTAGAGAATCTACGGTTCTAAGTGTGCCTTATGGCAAAGTTGATTTACAGATCCAAAATGGCCCTAAAGTGACATACTCCTTCATATTGATGTCTGTAATTGTATCTGTGTAGTGTAAATAGCTACACTCACCAGAGAGGAGCACAACGGAGCACAGGTGAAGGACCTGCCCTTTGAACTCCTCGTCCCCAAGGCCCACCCGGATCACATCGCTGCACACTGTCAGGAATTTCTGCCAAACATCACCACAACGTTAGAGCAAGGTAGTCACTCCACAAAGACGGACAGAAAACGTTAACCCATAGAAACAATGACATTTATGTTTTTTAAAAAATAGTAACGGCAAAGTAAATCAGAGGTTGTATTGACAACTGTTTTTAAGAACCTGTAATAATGCTGAAAGCCCAAATCAACTAAACTAACTATATTACGGGACAATAAAACAATTATTCAATCATAAAAAATGACATTTTTGTGCACATTTTTCCTGAGAACAATGCATTGCATAACCCACCATACTATCTTAATCTCAAGTGTTGGTGCTGGAACCCTAGAGTTGGTGGAAGCAGCAGAAGTGGGTATTGAGATAAATGGGGGTTTATTTTCCATATCCGAACACAGCAGCAACCTTTGGGCGACACTCTTGAGAGAGTAATGACAGAAATAGCTAGAGAAGCCAATTTCAAATAACAAATTAGTCCATCTAGCTCTCTGTGAGTGGGAGGCATACAGCAGAGAGCTGATAGGCGAGTGTGGAATAACAATCTTTAACCAACTAAGGCCGCGTCCCAAATGGAACCCTATTCCCTAAAAGTGCACTACTTTTGACCAGGGCCAATAGGGCTCTGGTCAAAAGTAATGCACTACATAGGGAATAGTGTGCCATTTGGGACGTGGCCTTAGCTAGAACTGAAAGCATAAGAAAGGAGAAAGGAGGAGAATTGATCTACTGACCATAATACTATAAAGCTGCTCATACATTACCAGGACTTAATTCACTGGATAATACTGTAACAGTGTCTCATACACGTAAGCAATAAGGCACCTCGGAGGTTTGTGGTATATAGCCAATATACCACGGCTAAGGGCTGTTCGTAGGCACGACGCAACGCGGAGTGCCTGGATACAGCCCTTAGCCGTGGTATATTGGCCATATACCACAAACCTCCGAGGTGCCTTATTGCTATTATAAACTGGTTACCAACGTAATTAGAGCAGTTAAAATAAATATTTTGTCATACCCGTGGTATACAGTCTGATATACTACGGCTGTCAGCCAATCAGCATTCAGTGCTCGAACCACCCAGTTTATAAATAACTATATAACACGGCTGTTCTTTTATGTCTGAAAGGTCGCTAATGCTATATTATTCATCCTGTGTTTTAACATTTTCTGAAAATCACTGACAACTGCTGATGTAAAAAAGGCTTTGTGAAATACATTTGATTGATTTGATTGACGCTCAACTGGTTGTCTAGGACTTAGTTGGACACAAATTGAAAATAAATAACCACCAGCAGACACACAGCCCTCCAGGAATTGAATTGGACACCCCTGAGGTACCTCTGAGTACTTAACACAGAATTAACGTGTAGGTGTCCTGTACAAAAACAGTGTAAAATCCATCCTGTGGTTGATACTTGCTACCCGCTACCCTATCCAGCAGGTTGTGCTTACCTCTACCACCTGCCTGGCGAGATCCCGCTGCTGCTCAGTGACCCTTCCCTCACTGAGACTGACCAGGAAGGGCAGCACCCTCTCTGCCACCCATGCTGCCATGTTCTCCACAGAAACCAGGAAATCCCTGCCCTCAGAGAACTGGGAACGCAAAAACATGTGGTTATAGAACAAAAAGCCCTGGTGGTTATAGCAGGTTGTAAAAGGTGGTTATAGCCAAAACACGACACAGACCAGTAGCTAATATAATAAATAATATACAGTACCAGTCAAAAGTTTGGGACACACCTACTCATTCCAGGGTTTTTCTTTATTTTCACCATTTTCTACATTGTAGAATAATAGTGAAGACATCAAAACTATGAAATAACACATATGGAATCATGTAGTAACCAAAAAAGTGTTAAACAAATCAAAATATATTTTATATTTGAGATTCTTCAAATAGCCACCCTTTGCCATGATAACAGCTTTGCACACTCTTGGCATTCTCTCAACCAGCTTCACATGGAATGCTTTTCCAACAGTCTTGAAGGAGTTCCCACATATGCTGAGTACTTGTTGGCTGCTTTTCCTTCACTCTGCGGTCCGACTCATCTCAAACCATCTCAATTGGGTTGAGGTCGGGGGATTGTGGAGTTCAGGTCATCTGATGCAGCACTGCATCACTCTTCTTCTTGGTAAAATAGCCCTTACACAGCCTGGAGGTGTATTGGGTCATTGTACTGTTGAAAAACAAATGATTGTCCCACTAAGCCACGGCGGTTGGAACCAAAAATCTCCAATTTGGACTCCAGACCAAAGGACACATTTCTACCGGTCTAATGTCTTGGCCCAAGCAAGTGTTTTCTTCTTATTGGTGTCCTTTAGTAGTGGTTTCTTTGCAGCAATTCGACCATGAAGGCCCGATTCACACAGTCTCCTCTGAACAGTTGATGTCGAGATGCTTCTGTTACTTCAAAACATTTATTTGGGCTGCAATTTCTGAGGCTGGTTACTCTATGAACTTATCCTCTGCAGCAGAGGCAACTCTGGTCTTTCATTCCTGTGGCAGTCCTCATGAGAGCCAGTTTCATCATAGCGCTTGATGGTTTTTGCGACTGCACTTGAAGAAACTTTAAAAGTTCTTGAAATGTTCCGTATTGACTGACCTTCATGTCTTAAAGTAATGATTAACTGTTGTTTCTCTTTGCTTATTTGAGCTGTTCTTGCCATAATATGGACTTGGTCTTTTACCAAATAGGGCTATCTTCTGTATAGCCCCCCTACCTTGTCACAACACAACTGATTGGCTCAAACGCATTAAGAAGGAAAGAACACCTGTTAATTGAAATGCATTCCAGGTGACTACCTCATGAAGCTGGTTGAGAGAATGCCAAGAGTGTGCAAAGATGTCATCAAGGCAAAGGGTGTCTATTTGAATAACTTGTTTAACACGTTTTGGTTACTACATGATTCCATATGTGTTATTTCATAGTTTTGATGTATTCACTATTATTAAATGTAAAAAATTGTAAAAATAAAGAAAAACCCTTGAATGAGTAGGTGTGTCCAAACCTTTGACTGGTAGTGTATGCCGTTTAGCAGACACTTTTATTCAAAGTCGACTTAGTTATGCGTGCATACTTTTTTTACGTATGGGTGGTCCCAGGAATCGAACACACTATCCTGGTGTCACAATTGCCATGCTCTATCAACTGAGCTACAGAAGACCAGTTATATCCCAAATACTGTTCACTAGACCTGGGACAATAATCCAAATTACAGACACCGACAAAACCCAACACTTAGAGGACATTTTGCTGATATCGTTAATTATGATAAGTGGCCTATACTATGCTGGAGATATGTGAAGTTTGAAATTGAATAAGTCTACTAATATGGGTGAATGCTAATGGGACAATCCATAACTACAACATTCAAAGTAGTAGTGGTAGTTAAGGGTAAAAAAAAAAAAAAAGTGATGCACATTACTGTTATAAAGTTATTGTTTTATGTATCGCTAATTCGCTATCATGATAATCAGGGTTGGGGTCAATTCCACAAATTCAATTCCCTCTCCCTATAAATCCCATAAATAAAACATTCCTGCAGAGTTGGGGTCAATTCCACAAATGTTATTCCAATGCAATTCTCTCTTCCTATAAATTCCATCAATTCAATTCCATAGCAGTTCTTCAATTCAGAGTGAATTCAACTCATCTCGAATTCAAATTCTAAGTCAAATCAAAACTACAATTCCTAATTCATTATTCTGCCACAACAATTCACTCAATTAAATTAAACTCAAATACCAATTCAAAACTACAATTCTTAATTCCATATTCAGCAACAATAATTCACATAATTCAATTCCCTCTCTAGACAAATTCCCTGAATTTAAATTCCTTCACTTCTTTCAACTCAAGCCAAACTCAACCAAACTACCTCAACTCATGGCAGATTCCAAAGACAAACTTAAAAACCTCTTAACGAACTAAGAAGGAATATTCCTGGTAAACCTCGAAATGTCCCCTGAATTCTGAAAACGTTCAGGAATTTGGGGAATTAGCTTAACCTGTAAAATATATAAAATAATACAGTAAGATGCTCTTCAAGTTAAAACATACTTTAAAGATGTAAAACATCCAATTAAATATAACCCATCCAATTAGTGAATATCATAGATACAGTAAGTTAAAGCTATTTAATATGAACAGCATGAAATAAGGATGAAAAAATGAAAAATACTCCACTCAGTAGTGGCTACTGTATTATTCATTATTACTTTATACCAGTTTTCTCCCCAATTGGTTTAGCACATTGTGGGGAACAAATCTCCATGCTCTCTAAAAACAATACATTGGCAAATTAATTTTTTTAAACACATTTTCTACACATTAATATTCAAACAAAACCCTTTATGTAACATTTATACAATTGCATACTGTAGTGTGAAACAAAATTCATGATAGAAATGAGAGGATCTCCAGAGCCGTGGTCATGTGGGAAACACTCCCAGCAACAAGCAAATGTGTGCTTCCCCACCGGAGACCAGGGTTCAATTACCGTCTCCACCTTTCATGCCTGACTAATAAAGGAAAAATACTATGAGGTAGAGTGAGATGTTTATTAATTCAGGAGTTAAATTAACACTCAGTGTTATAAAATAACCCATTGACGTCAATAACCAGAGTTGAGTGTGATTGTGTCATTTTTCTCTGTAGTAAAACACTGACACTCAAATCCACGCCCATCATTATCATATTTCCGAGCATGCTTTATTGCAGGTTCATTTTTAGAATTGTTTGTTTCAATATCTGTGTTTTTGCATCCACATTGATTGATTAATCGATCTTATGTTATACCCTGTGTTAGGGTAAAACTAGTCTGTTGAGGTATAGCCTTATGATGTGTAATGTATTGTCAGAAAGGGTTACATTTTAAGGATAACATATTCACTTAGGCACTCACTTGAAGGCTACAGTTTTGATAAGAATTGTATGCAACAACCATGTCTCTGTCACTAGCAAACACAATCATGTGTGGTAATTCCAACGTTCACTAACAGGCACTCTGGGATATATGCAAATATTTGCTTACATTTCCATACAGTTGAAGTCGGAAGTTTACATACACTTAGGTTGGAGTCAGTAAAACTCGTTTTTCAACCACTCCACAAATTTCTTTGTTAACAAACTATAGTTTTGGCAAGTCAGTTAGGACATCTAGTTTGTGCATGACACAAGTCATTTTTTCAACAATTGTTTACAGACAGATTATTTCACTTATAATTCACTGTATCACAATTCCAGTGGGTCAGAAGTTTACATACACTAAGTTGACTGTGCCTTTAAACAGCTTGGAAAATTCCAGAAAATTATGTAATGGCTTTAGAAGCTTCTGATAGGCTAATTGACATCATTTGAGTCAATTGGAGGTCTGGTTCATCCTTGAGAGCAATTTCCAAACGCCTGAAGGTACCACGTTCATCTGTACAAACAATAGTACGCAAGTATAAACACCATGGGACCACGCAGCCGTCATACCGCTCAGGAAGGAGATGCGTTCTGTCTCCTAGAGATTAACGTACTTTGGTGCGAAAAGTGAAAATCAATCCCAGAACTACAGCAAAGGACCTTGTGAAGATGCTGGAGGAAACAGGTACAACAGTATCTATATCCACAGTAAAACAAGTCGTATATCGACATAACCTGAAAGGCCGCTCAGCAAGGAAGAAGCCACTGCTCCAAAACCGCCATAAAAAAAACAGACTACGGTTTGCAACTGCACATGGGGACAAAGATCGTACTTTTTGGAGAAATGTCCTCTGGTCTGATGAAACAAAAATAGAACTGTTTGGCCATAATGACCATCGTTATGTTTGGAGGAAAAAGAGGGAGCTTGCAAGCCGAAGAACACCATCCCAACCGTGAAGCACAGGGGTGGCAGCATCATGCTGTGGGGGTGCTTTGCTGCAGGAGGGACTGGTGCACTTCACAAAATAGATGGCATCATGAGGAAGGAAAATGATGTGAATATATTGAACCAACATCTCAAGACATCAGTCAGGAAGTTAAAGCTTGGTCGCAAATGGGTCTTCCAAATGGACAATGACCCCAAGCAAACTTCCAAAGTTGTGGCAAAATGGCTTAAGGACAACAAAGTCAAGGTATTGGAGTGGCCATCACAAAGCCCTGACCTCAATCCTATAGAAAATGTGTGGGCAGAACTGAAAAAGTGTGTGCGAGCAAGGAGGCCTACAAACCTGACTCAGTTACAACCAGCTCTGTCAGGAGGAATGGGCCAAAATTCACCCAATTTATTGTGGGAAGCTTGTGGAAGGCTACCCGAAACGTTTGACCCAAGTTAAACAATTTAAAGGCAATGCTATCAAATAATAATTGAGTGTATGTAAACTTCTGACGCACTGGGAATGGGATGAAAGAAAGAAAAAGCTGAAATAAATCACTCTCTACTATTATTCTGACATTTCACATTCTTAAAATGAAGTGGTGATCCTACCTAACATAAGACAGGGAATTTTTACTAGGATTAAATGTCAGAAATTGTGAAAAACAGAGTTTAAATGTATTTGGCTAAGGTGTATGTAAACTTCCGACTTCAACTGTATATCCCAGTGTGCCTTTAGAGTGAACATTGCGGGGCGGCAGGTAGCTTAGTGGTTAAGAGCGTTGTGCCAGTAACCGAAAGGTTGCTGGTTCTAATCCCCGAGCCGACTAGGTGAAAAATCTGTCGATGTGCCCTTGAGCAAGGCACTTAACCCTTAATTGCTCATGTAAGTCGCTCTGGATAAGAGCGTCTGCTAAATGACTAAAATGTAAATGTAAACATTGGAATTATCCCCCCCCATGACTGTTTGTTAGTGACAGAGACTTACTCATTGCATTCACTTGCATGTCCAGCCTCTATCAAGGGCTACATAAAATATGCAATTATAAGTGTGTTCAAATACCAGAAGCTACATATTTGATTGCCTGTTTACTTCCTGGCCCAGAAAAAATATATATTTGACACACCACCTCAGGCCATTTTACCAAATTATGATAACCTTCAGGGTGGTGTTTAATTCCCATTGAAATCCATCCAAATGGTGGATTTGCAATCTTTAGAGTAGTTCATCAAGCACCTTTTGCATTCAGACTGATTGCAAGGTAGAGAGTATAAAGTTGACAAGACAACATAAACCATATGAACTGGCTCCACCATCTCAATAACGGGTGCAATAAATCCAACCACTAACAGATGAGTTTTTTTACAAGTGATTTTTCTTTGTGCTGCATAATATAAATAACAATCAATGTACCCCCCCCCCCCCCCCCCAAATAAATTGAAAAATGGCTTTTGCAACGACGGGAGTGAGTTAGATTCCCGGGATCACCCTTACGTAAAAATCTATCCATGCATGACGAAGTTGCTTTGGATAAAAGCGACTGCTTAATTCCATATGTTGTAGAATTATAAAGCAATACATAATAATTGCGTAAACAATACTCAGTGGAATTCAAATTTAGCCAAATTACAAAACGACAATGTCATAGTTCATTGACTGCTTAAGGGGAAGGAAACCAATATTTAATTTGGGTGAACTATCACTTTAATTGGACCAAAATAACCAAACTGGAATTATATTGCACATCAACTCCTCATTAGAAAACATGTATATAATTATCATTATTTGATTTAAAACAAAAGTTTGCATTCAATTTCAATGCATTAACTCCAGTACACAATTATAATACAATTAAAGTTGTCCAAATCTAAATTCCAATTCCAATCCAAGGATGTTTTTATTTTCCAATTCAAATTAAATTCCAATTCCATTCCAAGGATGGTTTATGTTCAGTTGCAATTCAATTCATACGGTCTAAATTCCAATTCAATTCCAATTAAGTGTTTTGAAGATTGCTGCAATTCCAATTAAATTCTCCACATCCTGCTTGAATTGAATTTGAAATTAAATTGGAATTGATCAACCCTGATGATAATTCGGTCAATTTATTGTGGGCAAAGCACTACCGTACACAGATTTGTTACAAAGAGAGGAGTAACATCTGAATTGGACTGTTTTGCAGCAGAGGTACAGTGGGGAAAACAAGTATTTAGTCAGCCAACAATTGTGCAAGTTCTCCCACTTAAAAAGATGAGAGAGGCCTGTAATTTTCATCATAGGTACACGTCAACTATGACAGACAAATTGAGAAAAAATAATCCAGAAAATCACATTGTAGGATTTTTTATGAATTTATTTGCAAATTATGGTGGAAAATAAGTATTTGGTCAATAACAAAAGTTTCTCAATACTTTGTTATATACCCCTTGTTGGCAATGACACAGGTCAAACGTTTTCTGTAAGTCTTCACAAGGTTTTCACACACTGTTGCTGGTATTTTGGCCCATTCCTCCATGCAGATCTCCTCTAGAGCAGTGATGTTTTGGGGCTGTCGCTGGACAACACGGACTTTCAACTCCCTCCAAAGATTTTCTATGGGGTTGAGATCTGGAGACTGGCTAGGCCACTCCAGGACCTTGAAATGCTTCTTACGAAGCCACTCCTTCGTTGCCCGGGAGGTGTGTTTGGGATCATGGTCATGCTAAAAGACCCAGCCACGTTTCATCTTCAATGCCCTTGCTGATGGAAGGAGGTTTTCACTCAAAATCTCACGATACATGGCCCCATTCATTCTTTCCTTTACACGGATCAGTCGTCCTGGTCCCTTTGCAGAAAAATAGCCCCAAAGCATGAAGTTTCCACCCCCATGCTTCACAGTAGGTATGGTGTTCTTTGGATGCAACTCAGCATTCTTTGTCCTCCAAACACGATGAGTTGAGTTTTTACCAAAAAGTTATATTTTGGTTTCATCTGACCATATGACATTCTCCCAATCCTCTTCTGGATCATCCAAATGCACTCTAGCAAACTTCAGACGGGCCTGGACATGTACTGGCTTAAGCAGGGGGACACGTCTGGCAATGCAGGATTTGAGTCCCTGGCGGAGTAGTGTGTTACTGATGGTAGGCTTTGTTACTTTGGTCCCAGCTCTCTGCAGGTCATTCACTAGGTCCCCCCGTGTGGTTCTGGGATTTTTGCTCACCGTTCTTGTGATCATTTTGACCCCACGGGGTGAGATCTTGCGTGGAGCCCCAGATCGAGGGAGATTATCAGTGGTCTTGTATGTCTTCCATTTCCTAATAATTGCTCCCACAGTTGATTTCTTCAAACCAAGCTGCTTACCTATTGCAGATTCAGTCTTCCCAGCCTGGTGCAGGTCTACAATTTTGTTTCTGGTGTCCTTTGACAGCTCTTTGGTCTTGACCATAGTGGAGTTTGGAGTGTGACTGTTTGAGGTTGTGGACAGGTGTCTTTTATACTGATAACAAGTTCAAACAGGTGCCATTAATACAGGTAACGAGTGGAGGACAGAGGAGCCTCTTAAAGAAGAAGTTACAGGTCTGTGAGAGCCAGAAATCTTGCTTGTTTGTAGGTGACCAAATACTTATTTTCCACCATAATTTGCAAATAAATTCATAAAAAATCCTACAATGTGATTTTCTGGATTCTTTTTTCTCAATTTGTCTGTCATAGTTGACGTGTACCTATGATGAAAATGACAGGCCTCTCTCATCTTTTTAAGTGGGAGAACTTGCACAATTGGTGGCTGACTAAATACTTTTTTCCCCCACTGTAGAAGTATGTAGGTGATGGAACTCACATTGTGCTGTAGATGGGCACTGAGACGTGCGTGAAGAGCAAACGCCCTCAGTGCTGTTTCTGCTCTGGGAACATCGGCCTGGGCCTCAGAAGAGCTCAGATGTGAGTACAGCACCGACTGTGGAGGCAAACAGGACACAAGATCACACCTCTGCTCATAGCCTGTCACAGCACATATAAGCAACATATAAAAAAACAAATTATAGTATCTACTGTACCTTCCAGGCCCCGAGGGCTTTGTGTAGCTGTTTGAGCTGGCCCTGCCTGAAGGGCAGTACGCAGTCCCGCGTGGCGGTGCGGCTGAACAGGTACTCCAGGTAATCTAGCCCCAGGTCTGGCTTGGCCTCCACCGTCTCCTGGATGCGCACTTTCCGACTGGTGTTCCCTTTGCCCTGTGAAGGAAAAGTGGGAGCAGAAAGGGGGGTTATGTCCAATGATATCATGATTACAGGGTTTTGTCTGGATAAAAAAGGGGTTTAGGTGGTGGGTGTGGTAGGGGGCGTGGCAATGGGGGCAGTCAGCCCGTTGGCGCAGCTTAATTTTAGTGGCCCCCAAGCCAATTTCCTGCAATTCTACACATTTCTCCATGAAGCTGAGAGAAAATATTGCAGTTTCTCAAAGACTATATATATATTTTTAAATAAGTCCATTATCTTTTCTAAATACTTTATATCCGTTTTTAGTCGTTTAAAAGGCCCCGAACAGTCATTCTGTAAAGTACTTTCTCTCTCATGGCTAACTTTTGAAAAGACAGGCTGAGTGGGCAGGGAGCTTATACTCATGTCAAGCAACTTGGATGTAGTAAGCAGTGTTGCAGTAAAATCATTTAAAGAAAATGTGGTGATACACAAAGCAACTCAAACATTGAAATTGCATCAATTATAGATATTTTTTTACACATCTCCTGTTTGGCATGTCTCTTGTGATGCGGTTCACAGCAGCACTGACGGATGTGTTGACTTGACAACTGCGGCGGATTTTTGAACGAACCTTGTTCCATGCTGGCTGAAGACCTAGCTAGCCAGTAACTAGCTAACACCAGACACAGCTGAAAGGTGAAACATAAGTATCTTTGCCATAGATTAATAGGGTAAACTTTAAATTATATTTGCTGACACTCTACAGTCAAATTTTGGCACCAGTAGAGTATCTATCTAGCTATTTAAACCATGCCCCTCTGAAAACACACCTTTTCCAATGTTAGTTACAAGGTAGTACTTATTAAAATTAGGTAAGAGAATATCATGTTAGCATTGGTTTATTAAAATGAGAGTTAAGGTAATGTCACCTTGTCCCCTTAATAATGAATCCAAGTGCTTTGACATGGGGAGGGGACCAGTAACTTTATGATCAAACTTTATCAATGAAGAAGCAAGTCATTTTTCATACTTTGGCCATCATACTTTGATCTGGTTTCCTTCAAATATCATAAAATGTAATGAAAAACATGATTTTGACTGTTCATGACCCTTAAGTTTACACTGAAAGCGTTTTTCCATCCCAATTTATTATTTAACACTTTTTGGACTTGGGTGACCCGATAAAATGAAAAAAAAAAAAACGTAGGCATACATATACAAAAACAATAGACAACTTAACATTTACATACATTTCAACCAACATTAATGACATCACACTTGCTCAGACCCACGTTCCCACCGTATCCACACGCAATGTTGTTTCCAATGCTTGTAAGACATATGACTTCAGATTGTGATATGTTTCTGCCAGATTCTTTTCAATATTTAAATAAAGCATTTCATTCTTCCATTCTCTTAATGGAGTATCATTTGACTTCCAGTATTTAAGTAATATAATCTTCAATATATACTGAACAAAAATAAAAACGCAACATGTAAAAAGTGTTGGTCTCATGTTTCATGAGCTGAAATAAAAGATCCCAGAAATGTTCTATATGCACAAAAAGCTTATTTCTCTCAAATATTGAGCACAAATTTGTTTACATCTCTGTTAGTGAGCATTTCTCCTTTGACAAGATAATCCATCCACCTGACAGGTGTGGCATATCAAGAAGCTGAATACACAGCATGATCATTACACAGGTGCACATTGTGCTGGGGAACAATAAAAGGCCACTCTAAAATGTGCAGTTTTGTCACAATGCCACATGCGGACTGCAGGAATGTCCACCAGAACTGTTGAATGTTCATTTCTCTACCATAAGCTGCCTCCAACGTCGTTCTAGAGAATTTGGCAGTATGTCCAACCACCCTCACAACCGCAGACCATGTGTAACCACGCCAGCCCAGGACCTCCACATCCGGCTTCTTCACCTGTGGGATCGTCTGAGACCAGCCACCTGGACAGCTGATGAAACTGTGGGTTTGCACAACCAAATAATTTCTGTACAAACGGTCAGAAACGTCTCAGGGAAGCTCATCTGCGTGCTCGTCGTCCTCACCAGGGTCTTGACCTGACTGCAGTTCGCCGTCATAACATAATTTAGTGGGCAAATGCTCACCTTTGATGGCCACTGGCACACTGGAGAAGTGTGCTCTTCCCGGTTTCAACTGTACCAGGCAGATGGCAGACAGCGTGTATGGCTTCGTGTGGGCAAGCAGTTTGCTGATGTCAACGTTGTGAACCGAGGGCCCCATGGTGGCGGTGAACAGAGGGCCCCATGGTGGCGGTGGGGTTATGGTATGGGCAGGCATAAGCTACCGACAAACAACACAATTGCATTTTATCAATGGCAATTTCAATGCACAGATACCGTGATGAGATCCTGAGGCCCATTGTCATGCCATTCATCCGCCGCCATCACCTCATGTTTCAGCATGATAATGCACGGCCCCATGTCACAAGGATTTGTACACAATTCCTGGAAGCTGAAAATGTCCCAGTTCTTCCATGGCCTGCATACTCACCAGACATGTTAGCCATTGAGCATGTTTGGGATGCTCTGGATTGACGTGTTCGACAGCGTGTGCCAGTTCCTGCCCATCTCCAGCAACTTCGCACAGCCATTGAAGAGGAGTGGGACAACATTCCACAGGCCACAATCAACAGCCTGATCAACTCAATATCTGTGACCAACAGATGCATATCTGTATTCCCAGTAATGTGAAATCCATATATTAGGGCCTAATGAATTTATTTAAATTGACTGATTTCCTTATATGAACTGTAACTCAGTAAAATCTTTGAAATTCTTGCATGTTGCGTTTAGTTTTGTTCAGTGTAAGTGACGAAAATAAAATTGTCCAACCCATTGGGTATCTCACTGCACCCTCATTCATGTAAAACTTCTGACAGCCAGCTTTCTAACTCTGCCCATAACGTTTGGACTTTATAGCACTCCCAGAAGGCATGAATTATTGAGTCATTGTTAGTTTTACACTTAAAATATGACTGCCGTTGTGCTGTAGAATCTGAATTGTGTCTCTTGTATAATAAGGATTTCAATGGCAGAAAAATCCCTGGATTACATCTGTGGCTAATTTGGATATTTATATTTTAGGCCCAAATATATCCCTATGTATGCGTATGTGTCCCAAATAGCACCCTATTCCCTATATAGTGCACAACTTTTGACCAGAGAACCTATGCGCCTTGATCAAAAGTAGTGCAATATATAGAGAATTGGGTGCCATTTGGGAAGCAATCTCGGTGTGTTACTTACCGCGCCGGTGGGTAAGGCCTCAGTGAGCCAGTCAGTGATAAGCTCCAGGACGTGTGCGGCCTGGCCCCAGCTACACAGACACTCGATGATCTGACTGTACTGGGACACCTTGGCCCCCGCCTCTAACCTCTTCAGCCTAGACAGCACTCCACAGCTGGAACACATGGACCAGAGGTGACAGGGTTAACGTGTGTGCATGAGTAAGTGATTGAGTGAGAGACAGAGTCTGAAGTGGAGACCAAAAAAAGACAAGTAAGCAGGATCCCACTGACCTGAAAGTGGGGACAGAAGCTGGGGGCAGTAGGGAGGCCAGTTGGATGAGGGGAACTGTGCAACGCTCCTCCTGAAAGAGAGAAAACTAAGTGAGGACACCTTAAACGATGTGGAAGATATCTAGGGTGTGTCCCAATAATCTTGCTTCTTCCTGAAGTGTGCACTCTTTCACTACTCCCGACACATTTAAAAATATTGGATTGGTGTAGGCATGGGCTAGAGGGAGTTAATATATACCAGTCATTTCCTTTCAAATCCATGAATGGAAGTGAACCAGTGCTCACTTCGGGAGAAAGGAGAGATTATTGGGACGCAACCTCCAGTCCACCTCATACCTGGAAGACATTGAAATATTTGGGCACGACGGAGCCAAATTTGGCAGTGGTGTACTGGAGGGCGTCCTTGTTGAGCTCCAGGGCTTTCCGGATGCTCCTCCACAGGATCACCACCAGCTCCAGCAGACTGGCCATGGACGCTGTGTCCTTGACCGAAAGGACATCCTCCAAAACCTGCAAGGAACCTTGTTTTAAAAAGGGGCTCTCTGAGATTTAAAAATCAACTAAACTGCCACCCAGCCACTTGTTGTGGTAAACAGCTGAGCGATGGGGCTGGAGTAATGTAGAGTTCAGTAGGTACTCGCACTCAAAGCATAAAAAGGAAACACCAAAGACGAAAAAATATGCTTACTTTAATACCATGCTTGAAAGAATACAAATTGACATTTTTTGTTGTTGCACTTGGCACTTTTTTCAAGCTTGGTATTAAATTAAGTATATTTTTGCATACCAGCCTCGTTGTTTTTTTCCTTTTTATGGTTTGAGTGCAAGTACCTACTGAACTGTATACAGATTTTTATTCTCTCACGCACCGGTCACCAATCATTCTAGCCTTAGAGCAGACCCTCATACTGGCTTTCTACACTGCAGAAATGTAAGCACTCTTAACTTCAAAGACTGACCCTCCATAAGATCAAAATTATAGTTTTAACCATGTTTTGAAGCTAGACAGTGTTTACAAACAATGGAGTAAAGCGAAATTTTATTTTGGGTTTTGATGGGGTAGGACAGTTTAACTAAGCTCATTAGGCATTTATAAGTCAATGCCAGATTGCAATTTGAATGAAAGAAACATTTCATTATAGTACATGCATTCCATTGACAAACAAGAATCTCCTTAGTCTTGTAAGTGATCCGACATTCAGCTCTACAAATCAGTCTTACACTTGCGTTCTCCTTGTTGCTCGAGTTTGTCTTGTTCAGGTCTTCAGTCTGGATGCAGGCATTCAAACACCGGCGGATTGTCAGCATCAGCTTGACTGGCACACAAGAGGTACAGTAAACAGACTTTAGTCTGGAGATTAACAACTTCAAATGACTCACATAACATCTACGAGCTAGATATGTATTTTTTAAATAATCTACAGGGGAATAAAGACCTACGACCTCAACAACAGTAAAATTCCAAGGATCAATGAAGGATTTAAGTCCCACATATGCTGACAGGAGCTACATAACTGCAGGCCAAACTCACCTATGTTGGTGGGGGATATGTACACATGGGACAAACTCACCTATGTTAGTGGGGGCAGTGTAGATATGTGCATACTGGTAGAACTTCCTGGCTGCCTTGGGGTTCATCTGAATCAGAGTGACGCAGCGCTCACACCACACCTCCTCTGATTGGTTGACGGGGAAGAAGGAATTGAAGAGAAGGTTGACGACGCGCTTGGAGACAGGCTGTGAGTCGAAGGCCAGTCGGGCTAGCAGGTGTTCCATGGAGGACACCTTCCAGAACTGGCCAGAGGAGAGAGGGGATGTACGGCAGGGTGAGCTACACAAGTAATGTCTGACAGTATTCCCGAGGTAGTGGCAGTATCAAAAAAGTTCCCATACTCAAAGCCTTCACAAACAAAATGACAATGAAGAAATTAGCAACGGTGATCGAAATTGTTAAAAGGTTTTACAAAACTCTAATAAATGAAACAGTTGGACAATGGATGAAGATACTAACAAACATTTTACTGGCACAGACAAATAATGAATGGCATTCAGCAATTTATTGTGGCAATTCAGGTATTCAATTTATTGTCAAATATCACTTTTTTTCTTAGAATGCACTCATATACTGTATACACTGAGTGTACATAACATTAGGAACAGTACTTGCTTTGATACCGTATTTATATTACAGTAGGTCAACTGTAATATGAAATACAGAATTTGTCTTTCCACCAGCTGCCTGCCTGTAAGCTACTGTCAGATTCACAGTAACCCCTTTACAGTGTAGTGTGGAGCAAGGCTGTGTTATACAAGCAAGTACAAGTCATTGTAGCTGTGTGTGTTCCATTTTGATATAGGCATACTCCTACGTGAGGCCCCGTGTAGCTCAGTTGGTAAAGCATGGCGCTTGCAACACCAGGGTTGTGGGTTCGATTCCCACGGGGGGCCAGTATAATTTTTTTAAATGAAAAAATGTATGCACTCACTAACTGTAAGTCGCTCTGGATAAGAGCGTCTGCTAAATGACTAAAATGTAAGCTAATTCTGGTCAGTTAGTGTTCCTCTGCAATTCCAAAACACTATACATTGAGTATACAAAACATTAAGAACACCTGCTCTTTCCATGACATAGACTGAACAGGTGAATCCAGGTGAAAACTATTATCCCTTACTGATGTCAACTGTTAAATTCACTTTATTTTAAGAATGTGAAATGTCAGAATAATAGTAGAGAGAATGATTTATTTCAGCTTTGATTTATTTCATTACATTCCCAGTGCGTCAGAAGTTTACATACACTCAATTAGTATTTGGTAGCATTGCCTTTAAATTGTTTAACTTGGGTCAAACGTTTTGGGTAGCCTTCCACAAGCTTCCCACAATAAGTTGGGTGAAATTTGGCCCATTCCTCCTGACAGAGCTGGTGTAACTGAGTCAGGTTTGTAGGCCTCCTTGCTCGCACACGCCTTTTCAGTTCTGCCCACACATTTTCTATAGGATTGAGGTCAGGGCTTTGTGATGGCCACTTCAATACCTTGACTTTGTTGTCCGTAAGCCATTTTTCCACAACTTTGGGAGTATGCTTGGGGTCATTGTCCATTTGGAAGACCCATTTGCGACCAAGCTTTAACTTCCTGACTGATGTCTTGAGATGTTGCTTCAATATATCCACATCATTTTCCTTCCTCATGATGCCATCTATTTTGTGAAGTGCACCAGTCTCTCCTGCAGCAAAGCACCCCCACAGCATGGTGCTGCCACCCCCGTGCTTTTTGCACCAAAATACGTTCATCTCTAGGAGACAGAACGAGTCTCCTTCCTGAGCGGTATGACGGCTGCGTGGTCCCATGGTGTTTATACTTGCGTACTATTGTTTGTACAGATGAACGTGGTACCTTCAGGCATTTGGAAATTGCTCTCAAGGATGAGCCAGACTTGTGGAGGTCTACTTTTTTTTTTCTGAGGTCTTGGCTGATTTCTTTTGATTTTCCCATGATGTCAAGCAAAGAGGCACTGAGTTAAGGTAGGCCTTGAAATACATCCACAGGTACACCTCCAATTGACTCAAATGTCAATTAGCCTATCAGAAGCTTCTAAAGCATGACATCATTTTCTGGAATTTTCCAAGCTGTTTAAAGGCACAGTCAACTTAGTGTATGTAAACTTCTGACCCACTAGAATTGTGATACAGTAAATTATAAGTGAAATAATCTGTTGGAAAAATTACTTGTGTCATGCACAAAGTAGATGTCCTAACCAACTTGCCAAAACTATAGTTTGTTAACAAGAAATTTGTGGAGTGGATGACAAACAAGTTTGAATGACTCCAACCTAAGTGTATGTAAACTTCCGACTCAGAGGGTGAATGGGCAAGAGAAAATATGAAAGTGCCTTTGAACGGGGTATGGTAGTAGGTGCCAGGCGCACCGGTTTGAATGTGTCAAGAACTGCAACGCTGCTGGGTTTTTCACACTCAACAATGTGTATCAAGAATGGTCCACCACCCAAAGGACATCCAGCCAACTTCACACAACTGTACGAAGCATTGGAGTCAACATGGGCCATCCCTGTGGAACGCTTTCGACACCTTGTAGAGTCCACGCCCCAATGAATTGAGGCTGTTCTGAGGGCAAAAGGGGTTACAACTCAATATTAGGAAGGTGTTCCTAATGTTTTGTACACTCAGTGTACATTCTTATTGTACCAGGTCTATTTTTATATTTTGTGTTAAAATAAAGAAAAGTATGTTCCTCATTTGCATAACCACACTGGGTATATTTGCAGACATGAATAAATGAACATAAAGATACATACATTGTTTGCAAGATCAGACATAATATCACTATAATCCAGGTGTCATTTTCTTAGTTTCTTTCATTTCAGCACACCTAATTTCTAAACATTTCACCTGTATTAAATGACTACTTATTTCAATTGCACAAAAAAAAACACACCCATCAAAATAAAGTTATCTTTCTTCTCTTTCTTGTGATGCAAGTGTCGGAGAAGGTGCGTTAAATCCCAGATGAAGCTTTAGCATTCTTATAGACTCAATGGAAAGCCATTGTATCCCATTTCAGCCATTACTGGGGTGTGTTTGACAGGTCATTACAAACATTTCCGCGGTCGTACGTAACGTTAATGGGAAAAAACTACAGACACAAGCAAGAGTATGAAAGAGTCGCAGGACTAAAATTAAAGCAATCCATCTAGCAAGATTTAAGTGACAAGTGGATTTTGCACCCCTCAAAACACAGGAAATAGATGGCTGAAAAAGACAGATCCTTAGGTTGGCGGGGCATGTGCGTTGCTAAAGATATTCATACAGAATATGTACATATACATGCCTGTACAATAAAAACAAAAACACACACACACACACACACACACACACACACACAAGCCGTGTCTTACCTTGGCGGCCCGCACAGCTTTAATCTTTAGCAGCATGTCGAGGAAGGCCACGCGTACTTTCTCTGAGGTGTCATGGAGGCTGTTCTTCAGAGCTGGCAGAAGCTGCTCAAGCAATGGGTGGCTGTAGCCATTGTCCAGTACGATGGTCAAACACTGGAGAGAAGATTTAACAAATCAGTAATCGATAACACAGAACCACAGTCCTGACTGGTGGTGATCTAGAGGGGGGTCAGAGTTCACCGTTGCACTCAGAGATATACAGTGCATTCGGAAAGTATTCAGACCCCTTAACTTTTTCCAGATTTTGTTACGTTACAGCCTTATTCTAAAATCGATGCATTTTTATTTATTTTTTAATTTGTGCAAATGTATTCAAAATAAAAAATGGAAATATTACATTTACATAAGTATTCAGACCCTTTACTCAGTACTTTGTTGAAGCACCTTTGGCAGCGATTACAGCCTCGAGTCTTCTTGGGTATGACGTTACAAGCTTGGCACACCTGTATTCTTCTCTGCAGATCCTCTCAAGCTCTGTCAGGTTGGATGGGGAGCGTCGCTGCACAGCTATTTTCAGGTCTCTCCAGAGATGTTCGAACGGGTTCAAGTCCGGGCTCTAGCTGGGCCACTCAAGGACATTCAGAGACTTGCCCGAAGCCACTCCAGCGTTGTCTTGGCTGTGTGCTTAGGGTCGTTGTCCTGTTGGAAGTTGAACCTTCGCTCTGGAGCAGGTTTTCATCAAGGATCTCTCTGTACTTTGCTCCGTTCATCTTTCCCTCGATCCTGAATAGTCTCCCAGTCCCTTCCGCTGAAAAACATCCCCACAGCATGATGCTGCCACCACCATGCTTCACCGTAGGGATGGTATTGGCCAGGTGATTAGCGGTGCCTTGTTTCCTCCAGACATGACACTTTGCATTCAGGCCAAAGAGTTCCATCTTGGTTTCATCAGACCAAAGAATCGTGTTTTTCATGGTCAGAGTCCTTTAAGTGCCTTTTGGCAAACTCCAAGCTGGCTTTCATGTGCCTTTTACTGAGGAGTGGCTTCTGTCTGGCCTGATTAGTAGAGTGCTGCAGAGATGGTTGTCTTTCTGGAAGGTTCTCCCATCTCCACAGAGGAACTCTGGAGCTCTGTCAGAGTGACCATCGGGTTCTTGGTCACCTCTCTGACCACTGTCCAAGGCCCTTCTCCCCCGATTGCTCAGTTTGGCCGGGCGGCCAGCTCTAGGAAGAGTCTTTGTGGTTCCAAACTTCTTCCATTTAAGAATGATGGAGGCCACTGTGTTCTTGGGGACCTTCAGTGCTGCAGACATCTTTTGGTACCCTTCCCCAGAACTGTGCCTTGACACAATCCTGTCTCGGAGCTCCACGGACAATTCCTTCGACATCATGGCTTGGTTTTTGCTCTGACATGCAGTCAACTGTGGGACCTTATATAGACAGGTGTGTGCCTTCTCAAATCATGTCCAATCAATTGAATTTAACACTGGTGGACTCCAATCAAGTTGTAGAAACATCTCAAGGATGATCAATGGAAACAGGATGCACCGGCACTCCATTTCGAGTCTCATAGCAAAGGGTCTGAATACTTATGTAAATAAAGGTATTTCTGTTTTTTTTCCCTCGCTTTGACATTATGGGGTATTGTGTGTAGATTGATGAGGATTTATTTATTTAATCAATTTTAGAATAAGGCTGTAACGTATCAAAATGTGGAAAAGGTGAAGGGGTCTGAATACTCTCCGAATGCACTGTAGGTCTGCATCCCAAATGCCACCCTATTCCATATATAGTGCCCTGCTTTTGACCAGAGCCTTATGGGCCAGTCAAAAGTAGTGCACTATATAGGGAATAGGTCCCATTTGGGACATAGCCGTAATGTTCTATTATATAGTGTTCTATAGTATTCAATAATGGGGTCACCCACCTTGAAGACGGAGCAGCGGACATCAGGGGAGCTGGTATCATTGGCCAGCTCTACCACCAGCTTCTTGAGGAAGTCGGTGATGACGGTGGGGGGGATGACCTCCCAGCACTTGGCCAGGATCTTACAGACCCCCAGGGTGGCTGTGGAGCGCACCAGGGGCTGAGGGTCCTCCAGCAGGCACTGATATATTACAAACACACACCGACACACAGGAACAAACAGGAGAGAGCTTTAGAATATTAATGAGACACAACACTTATTAAACAGGAATACACTGTACACAGTGCTGATGAAATAGGCTCACTACACTTTAACTATTTAACCCTTTAATCTACACATTCTGGAATGTTTTAGCTCAACTTATGGCATTTTTAGAGTTTCAAATACATTAAACGACCACTTGGAAATTCAATGTCATAATACAATCACTTACGACCAGCGTGTCCAGTTGTTTCTGGATGGTCTCGTCCATCTTCTCACTGCTCTGGCTAGGGTCGTGGATAGGGAAGGCCTCGGTGAAGAGCAGAGTGGCATTGGCCCGGACCTCAGAGTTGGCAGCCTACAATGATGGAGAGACGATTCCTTCAATAGTTCAACTAGGGGAAAAAACACTATCCAGAAATAGAGTGTGTGTGTGAAGGAAACTTTGACTGTACACTTAGTGCTCTCCAGAGAATGGGCTTGTAGAGTCTGTAGAGCATCTCATCCAACCCATGGCGGCACTTCCGTTTGTGAAAGTAGCTCAGTATCTAGAGAGAAGGGAGAGTTCAGTCACACACATAAAATACACATCAACGCTTGCAAAGAATTTGTAAACTTTGTGGCAAAGTAAGCCAGCCAGAGGATTGCTGATATTATCTGGTCCTTTGTAGCTCAGTTGGTAGAGCATGGCTCTTGCAACACCAGGATAGTGGGTTCAATTCCCCGGACCTCCCATACAGTGGGGAAAAAAGTATTTAGTCAGCCACCAATTGTGCAAGTTCTCCCACTTAAAAAGATGAGAGGCCTGTAATTTTCATCATAGGTACACGTCACCTATGACAGACAAATTGAGAAATAAAAATCCAGAAAATCCCATTGTAGGATTTTTAATGAATTTATTTGCAAATTATGGTGAAAAATAAGTATTTGGTCACCTACAAACAAGCAAGATTTCTGGCTCTCACAGACCTGTAACTTCTTCTTTAAGAGGCTTCTCTGTCCTCCACTCGTTACCTGTATTAATGGCACCTGTTTGAACTTGTTATCAGTATAAAAGACACCTGTCCACAACCTCAAACAGTCACACTCCAAACTCCACTATGGCCAAGACCAAAGAGCTGTCAAAGGACACCAGAAACAAAATTGTAGACCTGCACCAGGCTGGGAAGACTGAATCTGCAATAGGTAAGCAGCTTGGTTTGAAGAAATCAACTGTGGGAGCAATTATTAGGAAATGGAAGACATACAAGACCACTGATAATCTCCCTCGATCTGGGGCTCCACGCAAGATCTCACCCCGTGGGGTCAAAATGATCACAAGAACGGTGAGCAAAAATCCCAGAACCACACGGGGGGACCTAGTGAATGACCTGCAGAGAGCTGGGACCAAAGTAACAAAGCCTACCATCAGTAATACACTACGCCGCCAGGGACTCAAATCCTGCAGTGCCAGACGTGTCCCCCTGCTTAAGCCAGTACATGTCCAGGCCCGTCTGAAGTTTGCTAGAGTGCATTTGGATGATCCAGAAGAGGATTCGGAGAATGTCATATGGTCAGATGAAACCAAAATATAACTTTTTGGTAAAAACTCAACTCGTCGTGTTTGGAGGACAAAGAATGCTGAGTTGCATCCAAAGAACACCATACCTACTGTGAAGCATGGGGGTGGAAACATCATGCTTTGGGGCTGTTTTTCTGCAAAGGGACCAGGACGACTGATCCGTGTAAAGGAAAGAATGAATGGGGCCATGTATCGTGAGATTTTGAGTGAAAACCTCCTTCCATCAGCAAGGGCATTGAAGATGAAACGTGGCTGGGTCTTTCAGCATGACAATGATCCCAAACACACCGCCCGGGCAACGAAGTGGCATTTCAAGGTCCTGGAGTGGCCTAGCCTGTCTCCAGATCTCAACCCCATAGAAAATCTTTGGAGGGAGTTGAAGGTCCGTGTTGCCCAGCGACAGCCCCAAAACATCACTGCTCTAGAGGAGATCTGCATGGAGGAATGGGCCAAAATACCAGCAACAGTGTGTGAAAACCTTGAAGACTTACAGAAAACGTTTGACCTGTGTCATTGCCAACAAAGGGTATATAACAAAGTATTGAGAAACTTTTGTTATTGACCAAATACTTATTTTCCACCATAATTTGCAAATAAATTCATTAAACATCCTACAATGTGATTTTCTGGATTTTTTCCCCCTCATTTTGTCTGTCATAGTTGACGTGTACCTATGATGAAAATTACAGGCCTCTCATCTTTTTAAGTGGGAGAACTTGCACAATTGGTGGCTGACTAAATACTTTTTTTCCCCACTGTATGTAAAAATTATGTATGCATGCATGACTAAGTCGCTTCGGATAAAAGCGTCTGCTAAATGGCATATATTATTATATTACGCTAAAGCCTTAGCAGTCTTGATATGAAAGACGAGAAAATAAATACAAGTAACGTGTGCTGTTGAAGTAGTACTCTGTCTACGTCCCAAGTGGCACCCTATTCCCTATATAGTGCACTCATTTTGACCAGAGCCCAATGGTTGCACTAGTATGGGCACTGGTCAAAAGTAGTGCACTATACAGGGAATAGGGTGCCATTTGGGAGGTACACCAAGTCAAATGTGCACATGCCCACCTGTCTGACTTTGGTATGGACAGGTGAGGTCCTGTGCAGGAGCACAGCGTGCTGCATGAAGTCCTGGATGCAGGTGCTCTCTATCTGCTCCAGACAGACCCCAGAGGCCTTCTTCCAGGCCCGGCAGTAGATCTCAGCTATGTGGTCAGTGAGGGAACTGGGAAAATCAACAAGAGTTCAACCAAGGAGTCAAAAAAACAGGTGTATCATCATGAATTGAATAGTAGAAAACCATTGCCTCCTGACAGCTACCTTAGAATAAGTAAGCCCTGACCGAGCCACAACGGACCATCTCCTGTTTCTGCAGCGGGAGGATGGTCGGGGGGCCGGAACATAGCTATAAATTATTTGTACACTGCAAAGTGACCGCAAGAAGCCCAAACAGACACAGTATTTGACAAAAACTGAATCATTTCAAACCTTGATTACATTGGGATACGTTCACATATGCCTCTATATTTATGTGTGGGAATACTTGGGAACAGATTTCATCAATTAAAATCACTTTTAGCTGCGATCCTGGTGATTTTACAGTCCTTTATGTTCAACAACAAAATAAAAAATGAATAATAATAATAATAATGTTTTTGCTCAGAAAACTTGGGAGGCCAAATAATATCACCCGCTGGACACCTTTTGGGGGAACCCTGCACGCTGAGTGCCAAGCAGAGGCATCTGGTCCCATTTCTTAAGAGTCTTTGGTATGACTCGACCGGGGATGGAACCTTCAGCCTCCCAATCTGGCTGACATTCTAACAAGGCCACGGAGTTGGTTGCTAGCTATCGTAGAATTGGAAACTAGAAATGCAAACACTTACTTTGCAAAGTAGGGCAACTGGTTTTTGATGGTTCCATGGATGATCCGGATGAAGTTGACATTCCAGCTAAAGAGGAACACCATCAGACGCTTTCCCTGCCCGAGAAAGTAAGGTTGTCAGAACAACAATGTGAGCATGATAGGACACACACACACACCAGACTTGGGTTTAAAATACTTCAAAAATCGATTGAAATACATTGAGCGTTTGCTTGAGTCTGTCTGGAGTTCCAGATGGGCAGGGTTTGCAGTCTTTTATTTTGTTATATTAAGCCAGGCAAGCTCAAATAGGCACAGACAAATAATACAATCAATTTTTCAAATATTTGAAACCCAGTTCTGACACACATACTTACATCTTCGTTTCTGATGTGATTGACACTGAGGAAGCATTGTAGCAGCAGATCGATCAGCTCCTTGCTGTCCTCCGATGAAAAATCCACAGTCAGCAGCACCTCATGGAAACCCCACAGCCTTTGGATCTCAGCCCCCTGAGAACATGCAGACAACGCAGCGACAACATTCAGCAACCCGAATACAAAACTGGTCGACACCACAAGACAAATGTGCCAAGATGAGACAAATGTGCCAAGATGAGACAAACGGTTAATACAGAGATAGACACAATTTGGAGAACAGCCAACAATGCAGATGGTTTGTTCCACCAATTCGGTGCCTTTTGAGAAGTGGCAATTGAATGCTTCACAACATGTTTTAAATTGTTCAAACATTTCTAGCCTGTCTTTCCATCTATGGGTAACAGGGTTGATGTGTTACGCTCGACCAACTCAGTAATCCACCACAAAACACCAGAAAATGGGCAAAAAGATTAGAACCAGCTCACCTGCTTTTACACTATGATTTGACTATTAGATGTTCAATGTTTATTTTGAAAATTGACTATTAGATGTTCAATGTTTCTTTTGAAAAAAATTATTTAAAAGGGATAGTTTCACCATATTAAAATGAGAGTTCAGTTCACGTAACAGGGTTGACCATAAAATGAGGGACAGACGTAAATGAATCACTAATCAACAAAATAACTATGGTGAAAACTTGGGAGAAATTTTGGGGTTGAGGGTTAAAATCTTCCTATAAGTCACAGAGCGTGCACGGAGGGACATGTCACACACAGCCCTCTGGTTCCATAGAGAGGTGGAGGGGCTTCCCACCATAATGGCTGCCCATCCTGTGTCTTCTCTTGACGCGTTGCGGTGCAGAATCAGGTTGCTGACCTACTCCCAACATGTTCTCCAGACCCTGAAGGGCAGGTTACTGCCTATAGCTGTTAACCGTGTGGTCGGTGTATCAAACTAAGCAGCTCATTCGCGAAACCCTGAATATTGTATTGAATGCAATTTGAAGAGATTAGTATGAAAATGTATGCACTAACTGTAAGTCGCTCTGGGTAAGAGCGTCTGCTAAATGACAAATGTAATGTAAAAATGTATGTCAAAATGCAGAATTTTGGCACTTTAGCAAGTCTTTATTTGTATAAATAAAAATTTAATGTAGTGAATTATCCATGTGCTCTATATTCAAAGTCACCTCATTTAATATAATATAACAGCCTTTTAAAAATGCAATTCAGACAAAATATCAAAAGGCACTCTTTTCACGGAACCACCCAGATACTGCCTGCGACAAGAGCGGAATCCATCTCACTAAGGCAGAAAAAGAAGATCACAGACCATAATTGTAAATCACTCCAATGCAAATATCCACCTCTCTCAGATACACTAGTGTTGAAGAAGACTTCAGTGCTGACATAGAAATAAAATAAAGTACACATACTCTCTTTCAAATCAAATTCTTCAGATGATCACTGAATGAGAGTACCGGGTGATTAGAAAGCTCTCGTCTGTTGTCGAGACCAGGAAGTGGACATAAAACAGATTTAATGAGACCGGTCATTTTCTTTTTGACTCAGGCTCCTGGTGGAGATGATTAGGGATACAGGGGGCTTGACAAAACACAGAGGATGAAAGCCAATCAGATATGGGGCGAACAACAAAAAGCAAGCCCCCCCAAAAAAGGAAACGTGAAACATTCTGTATTTTCCACCAAAATAACGGTGTTTTTTTTTAAGGATTCCTATAAAGCTTGCTAGAGAAAGCAAGACCAACAGAGAGCAAAACAGAAAAGCAACAACAGGCCATGTTGGTGCTAAAGGGTACGTACTGGTTTCTTCAGTATGAGAGTCTTCTCCAGGCATACGAGGAAGGCTGTGCGGCCCAGCTCTTCTTTCCCCAGGAGGCCTTTCTTCCACCAGGCCTCACACAGACGGTGGACAGCCTGCCGCAGAGGCATCTCAGAGGCAGGAAGGTAGGGCAAGACACCTGGAGTTGTTCGACAGAGACAGAAAGGAGAGTTGAGTTTGAAAAGCACTATAGAAGTTGAATAAATTAATATAATTATTATTATAAGTTAATATTCAATAAAGCTAAAACACTCACCATGTAATATGTTGGCGCACTCTAAGAGAGAGTTGTAGGTGTCACCATCATCAATGACTTCAACAGAAGCGGTGACCACTAGAGTCACTCCCTCGAAAACAGATATGGTGTGCGTCTGAACAAGAACGGAAAAGGAGACAACACTTACATTAGATGAAGACAGAGCGAGAATAAAACAATTTTTCTTGTCATGTCCAGTTTGGAACAATAGAGAATGGCCAGGATGTAGAGTTGTCACTATACCAGTGTCACGATACCCAATTTTCCATGGCAAAAAAAAAGAAATCCAGAGGCTCTTTGGTTGAACCTGCTTTATGTCAAATATTGTGTGCTATAGCATGTAAAATGAACAAATGTTACTCTGGGTGACAACATAATGCAGTTCCTTTCCAACATTAGGACTGTATCCCTCAAATTAAACCTGCTTCATGCTTTGTTTCCTTGCCACGATACTAGTATTGTGACAACTTTAAGTGACATAACTAACAAGTACTCACCAGGTCTGGGGACACCTCCACCTCCATGTCATTGTCCTCCTTGTCCTCCTCTACGCCAGCATCCCAGTGCTCTGGTGGGAAGGTTGCCAGCTGGTCACAAAGCAGTGTGACTAGTCTGGCCCACAGTGCCTCTCTCTGGCCCTTTGGCAGCTCCTGTAGGACCTCTTCCAAGTCAAAGGGCTCAGCCGTGTCCTTCTGTGGTAACATTACAGCCAACAATATGGGGTCAGAGGCAAGGCTCTCAGATAGATAGACCAGCATAACAAATCAGTGTCATAGACAATACTCATTTCAAGATTCATGATATTGGTCCTATAAGATATATTTTTGAAGGTTGACAAAAATGACATTGGTTTTAGCTATACCCTCAGAAATGTAGGTAAACAGTTAGCTCACTTGTTGGAGCATACTTGCTAAATGCTAACCATGGGTGTATTCATTACATCTTTAAAGGAAACCGTTTACCGTCTCAGAACCAAAGAGAAGCAAATAGTGCAAACGGAACGAAATGGGCGGGGCCTAACTGAATATGTCCAATAGAAACTCTCGTTTTCGTTGCAAATCGTTTTCCGTTTGGAGTAAACGGTTTATTCTGGTGCAAAACGTTTCGCAACAGAATAGGCGTAATGAATACACCCCAGCTATAAACCTGACAGCCCAAACTAGCTAACGTTAGCTAAGTGTAACGTTACTTACATGGAGTTTAGTGAAATTGAGAAATTCCCCCACATTGTCTTTGCAGACGGAGTTTAAAAATGCCTCTCGCTTAGACATGTTTAGCCAGTGCCGTGAAATAAGCAGTCAAATATCTGAATGATTGGGATAAAAGCAACATGTCATAACAACAACATAGCTAAGTTAGTTAGCTAGCTAGATTCGTGTTTACGATTTATAGACCGAAACATGACCTAAAGTTAATCAGAACATCATATACCACTAAGTGAAGTTAATGTTAAATACATATACATTTTTTATGTCGTTAGCCTTATAAATCATAAACGACTACTTATTATGATTTAGCTAGCTAACGAGCTAGCCACAAACTCACCCAGCAGCTTCCCCGCGCAAATTTAAGATTTAACGTCCAGAGTCACGTCTGTTCCAACGTCATTACGTTTTCTTGCACGCAAGCAATCGATTGTACTTTATTTTTGCAGCATTTTGTAGCGCACGCCTACTTATGTTATTGGCAGTAAATTGTAAATACATGTTTTCCCCTCACATGTTTGGTGTAATTGTAGTTTCTTAAAAATGTGGTTTTAACTTAAAGTAATCTGTAAACACACACACACACATTGTGTGAGTGTCTCTCAAATTTGTATTAGTTAATTTTAAATGCTATTAATGTAAAGTAACAGGATAGTAAATAATAATGAATTTAAATAACATCTCAACTAAAGTTGCGCCTGAACCACTAGATGGCTCTTACGTACAGCAAAACAAGGACCTAGCAGCTACATTCAGTAGGCTAACAGTCTCACAAAGGCTAACAATGAATTTAGGGCCAAGCTACTTTTCACAGGGAAGTCAAGTCATTGCAGTCAACACCTCAAAACAAGATACTTTTTTAATTAAAGAGAAACATTTGTTTATTATTCAAAACAAACCATGAATATACTTATTCCAAACTTGAAAACTATTGATGCCAAAAGGTTTCATGTAAATTTGTGAGTGTGAAGGTGTTTAATGTTAATAAGGCACAGGAAAGATAACTGACAGAGGATTTAAGATGTTTGTAATGCACAATAGGGAAGTGTTTCAAGATAAAACAGTATTCATTGTATGGCTTTACGTACAGGAGTAGCCTATGGCACATTCTGTCATCATTCAACAAATAAAAACAAATACTTCATACAATGTGTAGGCCCCGTGTAGCTCAGTTGGTAGAGCATGGCACTTGCAACACCAGGGTTGTTGGTTCGTTTCCCACGGGGGGCCAGTATGAAAAAAAATTTATGCACTCACTAACTGTAAGTCGCTCTGGATAAGAGCGTCTGATAAATGACTAAAAATGTAAAAATGTTGCTCAAAAATGACCATATCATCTGGTGTAAGAGACCATTAATATATTATCCTCTATTAATTTACAAATTATGTATTAAAATAATCAAACTCTTATCTCAGTTTAGATATAATGTACAGTGTCTTGCGAAAATATTCACCCCCCTTGGCATTTTTCCTATTTCGTTGGCTTACAACCTGGAATTAAAATGGATTTTGGGGGGGGGGGTTGTATCATTTGATTTACACAACATCCCTACCACTTTGAAGATGCAAAATATTTGTTCTTGTGAAACAAACAAGAAATTAGACAAAAAAAACATAAAACTTGAGCATGCATAACTATTCACCCCCCCAAAGTCAATACTTTGTAGTCACCTTTTGCAGCAATTACAGCTACAAGTCTCTTGGGGTATGTCTCTATAAGCTTGGCACATCTAGCCACTGGGACTTTTGCCCATTCTTCAAGGCAAAACTGCTCCAGCTCCTTCAAGTTGGATAGGTTCCGCTGGTGCACAGCAATCTTTAAGTCATACCACAGATTCTCAATTGGATTGAGGTCTGGGCTTTGACTAGGCCATTCCAAGACATTTAAATGTTTACCCTTAAACCACTCAAGTGTTGCTTTATCAGTATTCTTAGGATCATTGTCCTGCTGGAAGGTGAACCTCCGTCCCAGTCTCAAATCTCTGGAAGACTGAAACAGGTTTCCCTCAAGAATTTCCCTGTATTTAGCGTCATCCATCACTCCTTCAATTCTGACCAGTATCCCTGTCCCTGCCGCTGAAAAACATCCCCACAGCATGATGCTGCCACCACCATGCTTCACTGTGGGGATGGTGTTCTCGGGGTGATGAGAGGTGTTGGGTTTGCGCCAGACATAGCGTTTTCCTTGATGGCCAAAAAAGCAAAATTTTAGTCTCATCTGACCAGAGTACCTTCTTCCATATGTTTGGGGTGTCTTCCACATGCCTTTTGGCGAACACCAAAAGTGTTTGCTTATTTTTTTCTTTAAGCAATGGCTTTTTTCTGGCCACTCTTCCGTAAAGCCCAGCTCTGCAGAGTGTACGACTTAAAGTGGTCCTATGGACAGATACCCCAATCTCCACTGTGGAGCTTTGCAGCTCCTTCAGGGTTATCTTTGGTCTCTTTGATTAATGCCCTCCTTGCCTGGTCTGTGAGTTTTGGTGGGCGGCCCTCTCTTGGCAGGTTTGTTGTGGTGCCATATTCTTTCAATTTTTTAATAATGGATTTAATGGTGCTCCGTGGGATGTTCAAAGTTTCAGATATTTTTTTATAACCCAACCCTGATCTGTACTTCTCCACAACGTTGTCCCTGACCTGTTTGGAGAGCTCCTTGGTCTTCATGGTGCCGCTTGCTTGGTGGTGCCCCTTGCTTAGTGGTGTTGCAGAGTCTGGGGCCTTTCAGAACAGGTGTATATGTACTGAGATCATGTGACGGATCATGTGACACTTAGATTGCACACAGGTGGACTTTATTGAACTAATTATGTGACTTCTGACGGTAATTGTTTGCACCAGCTCTTACTTAGGGGCTTCATAGCAAAGGGGGGGAATACATATGCATGCACCACTTTTCCGTTTTGAATTTTCTTGAATTTTTTGAAACAAGTTATTTTTTAAATTTCACTTCACCAATTTGGACTATTTTGTGTATGTCCATTACATGAAATCCAAATAAAAATCAATTTAAATTTCAGGTTGTGGTAATGCAACAAAATAGGAAAAACACCAAGGGGGATTAATACTTTTGCAAGGCACTGTACACCAGAGCAGAACATATCCCCGCCCTGACATATACCCCTCCATCTCAACATCCCGCCCTGACATATACCCCTCCATCTCAACATCCCGCCCTGACATATACCCCTCCATCTCAACATCCCGCCCTGACATATACCCCTCCATCTCAACATCCCGCCCTGACATATACCCCTCCATCTCAACATCATTCTATATTGCACTGAATCCCTCAAAATATACAGTATAGAATGTACTGAACAACAATTTCATCCTTTTTCGATGTGCATCCAGCGGTAGGACTTTTAATCACTGTACAAGTAATTGATTACCATTAGGATGAAGAAAACACATGGAAGTAAACAAAGACCAAATAACAATAATAATAATAATAATAATAATAATAATAATAATAATATGCCATTTAGCAGATGCTTTTATCCAAAGCGACTTACAGTCATGCGTGCATAAATTGTTTGTGTATGGGTGGTCCCGGGGATCGAACCCACTACCTTGGCGTTACAAGCGCCGTGCTCTACCAGCTAAGCTACAGAGGACCACACTGCATGACAAAAATATATAAAACAAATGAACTGATCATCCATGTTCACGGCTTGTAACTACCATAGTAGCCATATCTGTCCCTTTGATGAGAATTTGTTCACATCATCAATAGATATGGAGTCCATTCAATGTAAAATAAAAAATAAATAGGATTAACATAATTTCCTTCAATAGTAACAAATAAAAATGAAATCCCTGCAAATCTTAGTCAATTTTAGCCCAGTTATACATATATAAACATTGACAACTTAGGAAAAAAGGCAGTAAATGTGCTTTTTCACACATTAACCTAAATCTTCTGAAAAGCGTTTTGCTTTTAACAGGACAATTTTGCGAAACTTTGACGTTGTTGAATAGTGCAGGAACAGCATATTACAGTAAACCTGAAGTTTTATCTCTACATAGGTCGATATGATAAACACACAAATTAAATGAAAAAAAATAAAGGAAATGAAAATTATGTGCCCTTTGATAAGTGTTAACACCATATGACTGCAGAGTGGTATGTGTTTCTATGAATGTCAATTGGTGTTTATGATGATGGAGGTGCGGTCTTCCTGTGTCCATCTCTACCTCTCTATGCCTGGACTGTTTTGCGGTTGCCATCTTCAGTCAGATCATACCTACAAGACAAAACGAGGAGTTAAAAACACCAGTGGAGCAACAAATGGCAATGGCATAAAACTAAAATATGACAAACAAATACAGTCATAAAAGATACATAGGATTTTTTATAGCAATTGTCTCACACCCAAAGATGTACAGTGGGGAAAAAAAGTATTTAGTCAGCCACCAATTGTGCAAGTTCTCCCACTTAAAAAGATGAGAGAGGCCTGTAATTTTCATCATAGGTACACGTCAACTATGACAGACAAAATGAGGAAAAAAAATCCAGAAAATCACATTGTAGGATTATTAATGCATTTATATTAGCAGATTATGGTGGAAAATAAGTATTTGGTCAATAACTAAAGTTTCTCAATACTTTGTTATATACCCTTTGTTGGCAATGACACAGGTCAAACGTTTTCTGTAAGTCTTCACAAGGTTTTCACACACTGTTGCTGGTATTTTGGCCCATTCCTCCATGCAGATCTCCTCTAGAGCAGTGATGTTTTGGGGCTGTCGCTGGGCAACACAGACTTTCAACTCCCTCCAAAGATTTTCTATGGGGTTGAGATCTGGAGACTGGCTAGGCCACTCCAGGACCTTGAAATGCCACTTCGTTGCCCGGGCGGTGTGTTTGGGATCATTGTCATGCTGAAAGACCCAGCCACGTTTCATCTTCAATGCCCTTGCTGATGGAAGGAGGTTTTCACTCAAAATCTCACGATACATGGCCCCATTCATTCTTTCCTTTACACGGATCAGTCGTCCTGGTCCCTTTGCAGAAAAACAGCCCCAAAGCATGATGTTTCCACCCCCATGCTTCACAGTAGGTATGGTGTTCTTTGGATGCAACTCAGCATTCTTTGTCCTCCAAACACGACGAGTTGAGTTTTTACTAAAAAGTTCTATTTTGGTTTCATCTGACCATATGACAGTCTCCCAATCCTCTTCTGGATCATCCAAATGCACTCTAGCAAACTTCAGACGGGCCTGGACATGTACTGGCTTAAGCAGGGGGACACGTCTGGCACTGCAGGATTTGAGTCCCTGGCGGCGTAGTGTGTTACTGATGGTAGGCTTTGTTACTTTGGTCCCAGCTCTCTGCAGGTCATTCACTAGGTCCCCCCGTGTGGTTCTGGGATTTTTGCTCACCGTTCTTGTGATCATTTTGACCCCATGGGGTGAGATCTTGCGTGGAGCCCCAGATCGAGGGAGATTATCAGTGGTCTTGTATGTCTTCCATTTCCTAATAATTGCTCCCACTGTTGATTTCTTCAAACCAAGCTGCTTACCTATTGCATATTCAGTCTTCCCAGCCTGGTGCAGGTCTACAATTTTGTTTCTGGTGTCCTTTGACAGCTCTTTGATCTTGGCCATAGTGGAGTTTGGAGTGTGACTGTTTGAAGTTGTGGACAGGTGTTTTTTATACTGATAACAAGTTCAAACAGGTGCCATTAATACAGGTAACGAGTGGAGGACAGAGGAGCCTCTTAAAGAAGAAGTTACAGGTCTGTGAGAGCCAGAAATCTTGCTTGTTTGTAGGTGACCAAATACTTATTTTCCACCATAATTTGCAAATAAATTCATTAAAAATCCTACAATGTATGCACGCATGACTGTAAGTCGCTTTGGATAAAAGCGTCTGCTAAATGGCATATTATTATTATTATTATTATTACAATGTGATTTTCTGGAGGAAAAAAAATCTCAATTTGTCTGTCATAGTTGACGTGTACCTATGATGAAAATTACAGGCCTCTCTCATCTTTTTAAGTGGGAGAACTTGCACAGTTGGTGGCTGACTAAATACTTTTTTTCCCCCACTGTAATCATGGAATAAACAACAAACAAGCTAGTTTATTTCTCCAAATCAAATTTGTATCAAATGTTAACACAAATACAACACATAGCTGACAATACAAATTGGGTAAAGGAGCATCTTACCATTGTGTCCAGCCCTTGGATATATCCTCAACACTCAAATCCACCATCACCTATAATAAGTACAGTAGCATTGCTAGAGTCAACAACAATCAGATAACATTAATCATTAAAAAAAGTCCTTCATTTTTAAAGTACAACAATGTTTGTATCCCAAATGGCACCCTTTTCCCAATATAGTATGCTAATTTTGACCAGGGCTCATAGGGCTCTGATCAAAAGTAGTGCACTATATAGGGAATAGGGTGCCATTTGGGACATAGACTATATTTTGTGAGGAGACACTACCTTCCCGAGGAGTCCTCTGTGTTTGGACAGTATACTCCCTCCATTCTTCACAGCGATGTCCAGAGTCCTCCTGTGCAGCTCCGTCATGGAAACACTGAACTCAAACCTGCAGATGAACAAAATACACACTTTCGGATTCTCCTTTGTTTATTTCTGAGTGATGATTTCCTACTGCAGTAATACTAGGTGATGAATGAATATAATACATGATGTGATGAATGGTTGCGATGGTTAATGGTTGTGAAATGGTTGCATAATGTAAAATAAAAAAATAAAAAATAAAAATAATGTAAGAGGTGGCCATAGAGATCATATACAGTATATTACTATTACTTATAAGTTCTATACATATTTCTATGGAGGTGGCCTACAGTGACAGTCCGAGTCAGAACTCACGTTTGATCATACACAGGGTTCAGGGTTTTCTTTATGGTGCTGGTCTTCCTCCGGCCTGTCCGGCTCTTGTCAGGGAGCAAGTAAACCCGAACGAAAGGATCTGATCCATCCTTAGTGAACGCAATGAGGTTTCTGAGGGAAAAATGTACAGGGGTCCGTCAGTCACATTGAAATCTGAACAGAGTAAGTCCTGATCTTGTGGTAATTGAAATGAACACAGAGGGGCGGTTTCCTGGACACACATTAAGCTTAGTCTTGGACGAAGAAGGCACTTTCAATGGAGAATCTCCATTGAGCACGCTTTTTAGTCCAGGACAAGGCTTAATCTGTGTCCGGGAACCGGGCATATACAGTATATGTGGCTAGTCTAGTGTTATACGTGAGGCCACTGACCGACAGGCGTGCACCACCACGATGAGCTTGTTCCTCTGGGAGCTGTGGCGGACAGTCAGCTGAATCTCCCCCAGGGGGTACGGACTAGGGGCAGACCCACTGAAAACGCAACACAGCAGAGATTAGGGATTTTACTTTACCTCATGATAGTGATTGTGTGTGTTTGAGTGCGTGTGTGTGTGCACGGGAGTGCGTGTGTGTGATTTACTTCTGCAGCTGCCTGAGCCTCTGCTGCAGCTCTTGGGTGGCGAAGGGCAGGGAGATGTCCGAGGCCAGGCTGGCCATGGAGTCCTTGTGGGGCAGGTGTTTCTGGGAGTTGGATATGGTGGTGCTCAGGTTGGAAGTGCTCCTGAGAGAGGTGCTCCTGATGGGGCTGCCTCCGTATGGCTCCTCCCTTCGCTCCTCCCGGCGATGGAGGGAGTGGGTGGAGGCCTCCATGAGTGGTGGTGGGGTGGTGGTGGCTGGGGGGAGAGGCAACTCTGATGCGGAGAGTCTCTGGGAGGGGACGGTGGGGTTGACCACGCTGGCTTTCCTCACCTGGACAGAGGAAAGCTGGTCCGCCGCACTTGTCTGCTTCTCCAGGCACAGAACCTACGACACAGAAGAGCAGAGCACAGTACCTTAAGAACACTGTACACTGTAACGGAAAACTGTAAATAATACGGTAATTTGGGGTCTACAGTAAAATACGTTTTGCTGCAGCATACTGTCAATTCTAAAGTATTGTGGGAAAATGTTGTGTGCGGGGCAAAGTATTGCTGTATTTCGAAAGGTACTGTAATACCACCCCACAGAATAACAGTACTGTACCGTATCTTTGGAGCGCCAAAAACCTTTTGACCACTAGTGGGTGCCTGGTATTGTTTCTGGCTCATTAACATATTTTGAGGATTGATAGATTTGTTGCAACCGTGATTGAGAATGCTGTACCAATTTAATTCCTATGTGATTATAGTGCCCCATCAATTTGTATAGGGGACAGATTGGAGTGGCAGCAAGTCTTCCAGAAAATTGGAACGGAAATGGAGCTCCACCAAATTGGAAGTCTTCCGACTAGCTTGGAAAGACAGTACCGTGCAATATCAAAAAGCTCTCACTGCTGCTCGATCAGCCTACTTTTCCAACTTGATTGAGGAGAAAAAAAAACAGTCCAGCTGCTTACTGGACCCTATTCCAACTAACTACTGAAAGAGCTACTTCCTGTGCTTGGCACTCCTATGTTGAACATAACAAACGTCTCCCTATCCTCCGGATGTGTACCAATCTCACTAAGAGTGGTAGTAATAAAGTCTCTCCTGAAAAAGCCAAACCTTGACCCGGAAAATTTAAAAAACGGAAAAAGCTGCTCAGCAACTCACTGCCTTCCTGAAGACAAATAATGTATATGAAACTCTCCAGTCTGGTTTTAGACTCCATCATAGTACTGAGACCGCACTCGTGAAGGTGGTTAATGACCATTTAATGGCGTCAGACCAAGGCTCTGCTTCTGCCCTCGTGCTCCTAGACCTTAGTGCCGCTTTTGACACCATCGATCACCACATTCTTTTGGAGAGATTGGAAACCCTAATTGGTCTACACGGACAAGTTCTTGCCTGGTTTAGATCTTATCTGTCTCTATGGATGGTTTGTCCATTAAGTTTCGGTGTTCCTCAAGCTTCCGTTTTAGGACCACTATTGTTTTCACAATATTCTACCTCTTGGGGATGTCATTCGGAAACACAATGTCAACTTTCACTGCTATGCAGACAACACACAGCTGTACATTTCAATGAAACATGGTGAAGCCCCAAAATTGCCTACCCTGGAAGCCTGTGTTTCAGACATAAGGAAGTGGATGGCGGCAATTTCTTTACTTTTTAACTCGGACAAAACAGAGATGCTAGTTCTAGGTTCCAAGCAACGAAGAGATCTGCTGTTTGATCTGACAATTAATCTCGATGGTTGTACAGTCGGCTCAAATAAAACTGTGAAGGACCTGCTCTGGACCCTGATCGCTTTTTTGACAAACATATCAAAAATATTTAAAGGGCAGCTTTTTTCCATCTTCGTAACAATGAACAAATCAGAAAGTTGTTGTCAAAAAATGATGCAGAAAAGCTAATCCATGCTTTTGTCACTTCAAGATTAGACTACTGCAATGCTCTACTCTCCGGCTACCCGGATAAAGCACTAAATAAACTTAAGATAGTACTAAATACAGCTGCTAGAATCTTGACAAGAACCCCCAAAAAATACCATAATAGTCAAGTGCTAGCCTCTAGCTTCCTGTTAAGGCTAGGGCTGATTTTAAGGTTTTACTGCTAACCTACAAAGCATTATATGGATTTGCTCCTACGTATCTCTCCGATTTGGTCCTGCTGTACATACCTACACGTACGCTTTGGTCACAAGACGCAGGCCTCCTTATTGTTCCTAGAAGCAAACAGCTGGAGGCAGGGCTTTCTCCTACAGACCCAGCTAACAAGGAGCATAACTGAGACATTTGTAACATTCTCCTTCAGTCTTCCAGAGGTACTGAATGTCATAGCCCGTTTGGGACATTATAGGCACATTCATTGGTCCTCTGTAGCTCAATTGATAGAGCATGGCGCTTGTAACGCCAGGGTAGTGGGTTCGATCCCCGGGACCACCCATACGTAAAAATGTATGCGCACATGACTGTAAGTCGCTTTGGATAAAAGCGTCTGCTAAATGGCATATTATATTATTATAACATTTCTAATAAGTATTATAGAGGTTATAAATATCAGGTCGCTATACAGACATCATGGGAACATTAAAAACGTTCCTTGGTAGTCCATGAAAGGTTCTGAATATCATGTTATTTTGGAGATATCCTAGGAACATTTCATAACGTTACATTTAGAGTTATGGTTTGTCTTCATATAACGTTACAATCGGAATGATAGAAATACATTTTTGAACATCGTCTGTAAGTTTCACAATAACGTTATTATGACTTATGTGGGGACTAAAATAACTTTGTGGTCACGTCTTGGAACATAATTTTGTTAGCTGGGGAGCTCCATTTTTATGGAATGGTCTGCCGAACCAGAGAGAGACGCAGACTAGGTCTCAATCTTTAAGTCTCTACTGAAGACTCTTCAGTAGGTCCTATGTTTGAGTGTAGTCTGGCCCAGGGGTGCGAAGGTGAATGGTAAGGCACTGGAGTGACGAACCACTCTTGCTGTCTCTGCCTGGCTGGCTCCCCTCTCTCCACTGGGATTCTTTGCCTCTGACCCTATTACGGGGGCTGAGTCATTGGCTTGCTAGTGCTCTCGCATGCCGTCCCTAGGAGGGGTGTATCACATCGTGCCAGGCATTTTCCCGCTATACTCGACTTGAGTGGGTTGAGTCACTGATGTGATCTTCCTGTCCCCTGACCCCCCCTGTCTCTGTCTCCAGTATCTATGCTGCAATAGCCTATATGCCGGGGGGCTAGGGTCAGTCTGTCCTATCTGGTGTAATTCTCCTGCCTTATCTGGTGTCCTGTGTATTCTTAAGTATGCTCCCTCTAATTCTCCCATCTCTCTCTCGCTCTCTCTCTCTCCCCTCCCAGAGGACCTGAGCCCTAGGACCATGCCTCAGGACTACCTGGCCTGACGACTCCTAGCTGTTCCCATCCCCAGTCCACCTTGTCATGCAGCTGCTCCAGTTTCTGCCTGCGGCTATGGAACCCTGACCTGTTCACTGGACATGCTACCTTGTCCCGGACCTGCTGTTTCAACCTTCTCTCTTCCTCTCCCTCTCCCTCTCTCTCTACCGCACCTGCTGTCTCGACATCTTGAATGCTTGGCTATGAAAAGCTAAATGACATTTACTCCTAAGGTGCTGACCTTTTGCACCCTCTTTAAACACTGTGATTATTATTTGACCCTGCTGGTCATCTATGAAAGTTTGAACACCTTGAAGAACGATCTGGCCTTAATGGCCATATACTCTTATAATCTCCACCGGGCACACCCAGAAGAGGACTCTCTAGGTTTATTCCTAGGTTGCTGCCTTTCTAGGGAGTTTTTCCTAGCCACCGTGCTTCTACATCTGCATTGCTTCCTCTTTGGGGTTTTAGGCTGGGTTTCTGTATAAGCACTTTGTAACATCTACTGATGTAAATAGGGCTTTATAAATACATTTGATTGATTGATTGAAGCATTTAGGCTTTCCAGCCAACTGTGTTGAAAATAGGTTTATTACTCAAGTCTTTGTTCAACACAGTGTACATTAGTGGCACCTGCTGGTCAAAAGAATTTAGAGCAGCCAAATTATTATAGATGACGTCCCATACGCCATAGCGCGTGCGCAGTGTAGCCTTTTTGTCTTCTACCGAAACCAATACCAAACCAATCAGTGGGTTGTTCAACGAAACAATGCTTCGGATGTCATTGATCATATGCTTCTAATAAAGTGATACAGGCATCGGCACACTGCTTTGAAGTACACTGCTTAGTGATTTCGACGCATGCCTCGGGGCTCCGATTTCAAACCTAACATCATTACTGTAATGTGTAAACATTTTACCTAGCAGTCAACCTGCTTGCACCAATCCCTTGTAAACACAGTAAAATACTGTGAAATACAAACCCCTCCCCTCAATGAATTTCATTAATTGATCCATCCAATCATTCATTCATTTTACGGTATTGTACTGTGTCATTACACAGTACTTGCTTTGATACCATATTTATATTACAGTAGTTTTACTGTAATATGAAATACAGAATTTTACTTGCCACCGAGCTGCCTGTAAGCTACTGTCAAATTCACAGTAACCCCTTTACAGTGTACATTGTGATGGGAAGTTCTATTTACACATTTCAATCAGTAACTTTTGAAAATAGACAGCAGGTCTATAATGGTTGCATCTGAAATGGCACCCTATTCCCTAAAACGTTGAGCTCTATGGGCCCTTGTCAAAACTACAGTAGTGCATTACATAGGGAATAGGGTGCCATTTGGGAGGCAGCTATACATATCCTTACCCTGAGAGTCAACTTCAGTTTGAGTGTGGAGCTGGGTCCAGAGTTCCTCAGGGAAAACTGCTGAGTAAACGTCATGTCTTCCTCCACCAACAGACCACTCAAGGGGACTGTAAGATTACCCAGGGTGCACTTGTGCTTGTCGTCCTTCACCTGGCCATAGACAGTCAACCCAACAAAGGGTTAACATAATAGAGATCCTATAATTCACATACGCTTACTGTAAACTCAATGTTTGACCCAAGCAAAAACATCTGTTATGTCTGAAGTACATACTGTATAGAAATACAGTGCATTCGGGAAGTATTCAGACCCGTTGACTTTTTCCAAATTTTGTTACGTTACAGCCTTATTCTTTTTTTTCAAAACGTTTTTTTAATTTGGCATTTTTTATGATTATACAGATAACAGACAGAACAGGTAGAGGGCAGAACACACAGATCCCTACCAAATCAAATGAAACCCACCCCATGCTCTAACAAAGCCCCACCCCAAAACCAGACTTAAAGCAGGCAGGATATACAATGAATAATATTTAAAAATATTTTTTAAAAATTTCAAATATATTATAAAACAAAAAGTTTTAAAAATGTTAAAATAATGATAGATAGATAGACGATTCTAATTTGGGTTGGTTTATGGAGTTGTGAAATTAGCTGGGTCCATGTCTTCTACAAAGGACAGGAAAGGTTGCCAGATATTATAAAATGTAATTGGAGATACCCTAACGGAGTAGCGTATTTTCTCTAGCTTGAGATGTTGCATAACTTTCTTTATCCAATGGTTAAAAGTAGGAGGAAACTGATCCTTTCACTTAAATAGTATAAGACGTCTAGCTAGAAGAGTAGTAAATGCCAGCATGTTGCCCATAAAACTGTTTAGATGGTCCTCCTGTGGTGCCACTCCCAATAATGCAATTCTATAGGTCTCTCCAGTATCTTAGAAAACATCAAAAAAATTGATGTAAAACATGTGTAATAAAGTAGCACGAGTCCGCTTACATCCGTCACAAGTGGGATCTATTTCTGGTCTAATATTGGATAATTTAGCCTTTGACCAATGCAGCCAATGAACTATTTTAAATTGAATTACAGCATGTCTTAGACATATAGATGAAGGATGTATTCTCTGAAGCATATTCTGCCAAGTTTTGTCTGAAAAAGGTTCACCTAAATCCTCTTCCCATTGGTTCTTAAGAGATTTCAGGGAATCCAGATTGTGCGAGTTTAATAATGTATAGATCAAGCTTATACCCCCTTTGATATAAGGGTTCACTTTAAAAATAGAATCTAGAAGGGAGGTAGGTGGGCGTGATGAGAAGTGACTAGAGTATGAAGATACAAAACTACGCAATTGCAGGTATCTAAAGAAATGGGATCTAGGAATATTGAACTTTTATACTAACTGTTCAAAAGATGCAAAATCCATATCAATGTACAAGTCGTTCCGTGAGGAGATCCCTTTTCCAGACCACGTATGAAACGCCCGGTCCAATAATGATGGAGAGAATGTATGGTTCTTTAATAATGGGGCAGGAGTTGAAAATTCACTGAGACCAAATTATCGCCTAAACTGTTTCCAGATTTTTTTTGAATTCCACAATGGGGTTTTTAGTGTATTTGGAAACAGGCTCAGCTAATGCAAGTTTTGAGCAGAGTAAGGCAGAGTAAGGCAGCTAAGGAGGTGGGGCCACAGGATGAGATCTCCAAGGTCAACCATTTCGGGCCTGTAACATCAGGGATTTATGTCATCCAATATAGAATGATTCTTATATTAGCTGCCCAGTCATAATATTGAAAGTTCGGAAGTGCTAGAACACCTTGGGGGCGATATCTCTGCAATACGCTCTTACGTATCCGAGGGTTTTTCTTGTTCCAGATAAACGCAGATATCATTACTATTGATTCTGAACTGAATAAAAGTCAAATTTAGACGCCATCATAGACTAAGGGAGTGGGCAGAGCGGTAGAGAGAGGGGACCTGAAGAGAAGGGTGGGGGAATCCAAGAGGGAGGGGCTTTAAACTAGGATGTATGTATGACTATATCAACAGGGAGCTGGGAGGTAGAGGGGAGGTGCTCTGCAGACCAACTCGGCTTTGTTGAATTGTAATAAAGTCCATCTCAAATTCTAAAAAAACTCTGGATAATTTTCCACATCAATCTCTGGAAGACCAGTTAAAGGGTTAGACATATATAATAGCATGTCATCCATATAGAGTGAAACTTTATGCTCTAAGCCCCCTCTTCGAATACCTCTGATAGTGGTGTTATTACGTATTGCTATGGCTAAAGGCTCAATTGCGATTGCAAACAGGGATAGAAGACAACCCTGTCTTGTCCCACTTTGAAGTTAGAAATAGGATGAAAGTGTATTATTTGTGCGCACTGCAGCCATAGGGGAGGAGTAAAGGATTTTGATCCAGGACATCAAATTGGGACTGAATACAATTTTTATTTATTTTTTTCGCTCGGAAATTCGTCGAGTCCAGGGGATTTACCACACTGCATAGATTTAATTGCCAACACAATCTCTTCTACAGAGAACTGTTCTTCTAATTCAGCAGCTCAGGTTCAACTGTAGGAATATCTAAGTTCTCAAAGAAGGTGTCGAATAAGGTAGCATTACCAGCGGATTCCGAAGTCTATAATTGTGAGTAAAAGTTATGAAAGCATGAATTGACCTCTAAATGATCAACACATTTGTTACCCAGCCCGTCAGTTATCTCAGGTATGGTTTGATTTGCGGTTCTCTGACGCAGCTGGTGTGCTAGCATTTTCACTCATTTCTCTCCATGTTCATAATTTTTGTATGAGATTTACTCATTAGATTTTCAGCCTGTCGAGTTGAAAGAAGATCAAACTCTGTCTGAAGTGTCAAATGTTGTTTTAGTAAATCTGCGGATGAAGAGTGTGAATATGCCATATCCAAATCCAAGATTTTATTTGTAAATTCCCCTAGGCGTTGAATATTGCACTTCCTTAATAATTTGGCCCCTTAGATAAGACTTCATTGATTCCTATACTGTTGTAGGAGACATTCCAGCGGTTTGATTAAGCTCGAGAAATAGCTCAATTTGAGATGATATAAAAGCAACAAAGGTTTCTTCTGATAGCAGTAGTGAGTTAAGCCGCCAAGGGCGATAATTAGGCTGTGTATTTGGTATAAGTAGTTTCATAGTAAGAGGAGAATGATCCAAAATGACTATAGCTTGGTAATCACACTCCGTAATAAATGGCAAAAATCTATTGTCTAGGAAAAAGTAGTCTATACGTGAGAAGGTCTTATGAACTGGCGAGAAAAAATAATACTCCCTAGCTGTGGGATTGCGGAAATGCCATGCATCAGATATGGCATATGTCTTAAGAAATAGCTGAATTGTGGATACTGTCTTTGATGAAGATGATACCTTAGGAGAGCTATGTTCCAGATTGGGCGACAGTACACAATTCATATCACCACCTAGTATTAGGAGGTGTGTGTCTATATTTGGTAATCAAGAAAATAAATGTGTGAAGAATTAACTGTTATCCCAATTTGGTGCATAAATGTTAGCCAAGATAACAGGTGTATTATCCAGTCTGCTGCGCCTGCCACTACACTTGACATTGCGAACGGTATGTTTTTACTAATTAAAATAGCTGCCCCTCTAGTTTCTTAATGAAAATTGGAATGATATGATTGACCGATCCACCCTCCTTTTAAACAAGAGTGGTCGAAAGTGCGGAGATGTGTCTCCTGAAGAAAGGCGATATCTACTTTAAGGCGATTTAAACGAGAAATAACCCTTTTACGTTTCACTGGGTGATTTAAAGATTTAACATTCCAGCTAGCAAAAGTGACCGAGCAACCAGCTGTCCCTCTCATGATATTAGGCCTAGCCATGTAAAGTCAGGTGGGAAAAGGATAGATGCCTGATTACAATAACAACTGATCCATTAAACATTTTCCCAAAAATAGCAAATAAAAAACCCAAAAATAGAAGAGGAATAAAAAACATAAACAAACAATACTCTAAAGTCTGGTATGAAAAAGAAAACCCACCTGGTCACCTAATAGAACAAGGTAACTGCTAATCCCCACGCAGCGATATCCACACGTAATGTGCTTGTAGTGGGGAACACTAAACCTATCGAGTAGAGAGCCCTGCTGAAAGATATCCACACACTAAACCTATCGAGTAGAGAGCCCTGCTGAAAGATATCCACACACTAAACCTATCGAGTAGAGAGCCCTGCTGAAACTAGGCTGTTTTAAAATAAAGTATAAAACATTTTATAAATCACATCTTACAACAATACCACTAAGTTAGCAGCAACATCTTTAAAGAAATGACATAACCTAATAATAGAACTGTGCTTTATCTACCCTGGATTACGGGTACCATCGAGAAATAGACATGAGCAGCTTCATGGTAATAAAATAAAACGTTAAAACAAAAGGAGACTTGACTCACCCGAACTAAGGCACTAACGTTACCTAATAATAACAATATCAACTGATACCACTGACAACGTTATACAGTATCTACAAACGAGAGACTGAGTCATTAGTGGCAGACACATTCGTCCATTACCCTAATCGCCAAATAGGTGAACATTCAGCCATTTGCTTCATCCGACCTCGGTAGAATGTTCGCCTTTACGAAGGCCATCGCCTTATTAGGGTCTTGGAACTCTTTTTCGGTGCCGTTGTATGTTATAGACACACCATACCGAACGTCGGTCTGTTCACGGAGCAGACTCTCGACATCGTTGAAAGCGGCACGGTCACGAACAACGCTGGGGGCATAGTCTGGGAAAATAGAGACGGGTGCTCCGTTGTATCGAAGTGGGCATGCCAAATTCTCTGGCATGCCAAAGAACATCAATACAATCCTGATAGTAGTGTAGTTTAGCCACAATGACGCAAGGTTTTCCGCCAGGCTTTCTTGCTTGAAAGCCCCGATGTGAGTGGTCTACAAGGACATCTTTATCCAATTTGAGGAATTCCTTCAATAACTTTGAGACCGATGAAGTAGAACTTGAGCCCGGGTCCTCAGCTACCCCCATGATCCTGATATTGAATCTTTGCATATAACCTTGTAAATGTATGCATTGTTCCTTAAGGCTAGCCACATCCGTTTCAAGCTTCTTAACTGTGGTTTGTAGCGTAGTCGTGTCATCTGAGCAGGTTGACAGGCCTTGTTCCATGTCGGAGACAGTTTTCTTAACTGTATCCAGTTTAGTACGAACCATTGCTGTATGCTTTGCGAGTTCATTCTTGACTGCTTGTAACTCCGACTTAATAAAATGTAAGTCCTCACTGAGCGCCTCCTTGAGTTCTGACTTGAATATAGATTAAATGTCCGCTCTGAGTGCAAGAACCTCGGCCTTCAAATCCTAGGTGATATTTTTTCGCCGAGCCGAGGGGAGGAGCCGCTGCTCCCACTTGTTGAAGAACTCGAGCTCCTCGTCTTGGGCCTAGTGTTTTCTCTTTTGTCAGTGACTCCGGCGAATCTTAAACTTTTGCAGGTTATGCGCCATTTACGCATTAACACAAAAATAAAAGTTGAACAAAGTAAAGCACGTCATTCAAAGGCTGTGTTTCTTTGTTATTTTTGGGTCAAAGAGCAAAGAAAGTATTAAATAAATACAGTTTCAGCAGGAGCTCGGAATAACTTGACCTACTCCATGGCTTGCTCACTAGCGCCCCCGTTACAGCCTTATTCTAAAATTGAGAAAATAAAAAAATGTTCATCAATCTACACATAAAACCCAATAATTACAAAGTGAAAATAGGTTTTCTGAATTTTTTATATATGTCCCACAGTTGACAGTGCACGTCAGAGCAAAACTCAAGCCATGAGGTCGAAGGAATTGTCCGTAGAGCTCCGAGACAGGACTGTGTTGGGGGAGAAGGGCCTTGGTCAGGGAGGTGACCAAGAACCCAATGGTCACTCTGACAGAGCTCCAGAGTTCCTCTTTGGAGATGGGAGAACCTTCCAGAAGGACAACCATCTCCGCAGCACTCCACCAATCAGGCCTTTATGGTAGAGTAGCCAGACAGAAGCCTGCTTGGAGTTTCCCAAAAGGAACCTAAAGGACACAGACCATGAGAAACAAGATTCTCTGGTCTGATGAAACCAAGATTGAACTCTTTGACCTGAATGCACCATCCCTACAGTGAACATGGTGGTGACAGCATCATGCTGTGAGGATGTTTTCTGCGGCAGGGACTGGGAGACTAGTCAGGATCGAGGCAAAGATGAATGGTGCAAAGTACAGAGAGATCCTTTATGAAAACCTGCTTCAGAGCGCTCAGGGCCTCAGACTGGGGCGAAGGTTCACCTTCCAACAGGATAACGACCCTAAGCACACAGCCAAGACAACACAGGAGTGGCTTCGGGACAAGTCTCTGAATGTCCTTGTGTGGCCCAGTCAGAGCCCGGACTTGAACCCGATCGAACATCTCTGGAGAGACCTGAAAATAGCTGTGCAGCAACGCTCCCCATCCAACCTGACAGAGCTTGAGAGGATCTGCAGAGAAGAATGGGAGAAAATCCCCAAATACAGGTGTGCCAAGCTTGTAGCGTCATAACCAAGAAGACTCCAGGCAGTAATCGCTGCCAAAGGTGCTTCAACAAAGTAATGAGTAAAGGGTCTGAATACTTATGTAAATGTGATATTTCCATTATTTATTTTTAATACATTTGCAAAAGTTTCTAAAAACCTGTTTTTGCTTTGTCATTATGGGGTATTGTGTGTAGATTGATGAGAAAAAATAAACATTTTATCCATTTTAGAATAAGGCTGTAACGTAACAAAACGTGGAAAAAGTCAAGGGGTCTGAATACTTTCTGAATGCACTGTAGATCACCTACCAGTTGTGGTATGGTGAAAAATAAATATGAATGTACAGTATATAGTTGTTAACTAAGGTGTGTGACAGTACCTCCACTTCCAGCTCCTGCCTCCTGGGGTTATGGACGAGGAAGAAGAAAGCTTCCTCCCACATTGGCTCATTGGTCTTACAGCGGATCTGAAGACAACACATATAGAATAGAATACAATGGAATAGAATAGAATAACTGTATTTATTTATATGACCATGTCTATCGGATCAACACGAGAACAGAAGGTTTAAAACATCCTCAAAGTGCAAGTGAAATATGATGTTTCCAAATATCATTTCCAATTATCTACAGAAACCATGAACCACTGTAGTTTCTTACCTTACTCTCAAATGATTTGTTCCCAACTGTGAAATAAACGTAAGGACTTGGATCACTGCTCGTTTTCTTGCCGGACTGTGGGAGATGACCAGGAAAAGAGTGGCTCTGAATGAGTGTTACTAAGACATAAACACTGAAAACACTGTTATTCTTCAGCTAATTGTAGTAACATAGTTATTATACAGTAGAAACATACTGAATATCACTGATAAAATGGGTAGGGGTATCTATCCTGAGATAAAATAGAATATAATTTAGGCTGCATCCCAAATTGTTCCCTATCCTTATACGTTTTTTGTGTGAAAATGCACATTAGTTAGAAATGTCAACCTTGGTCTAAGTTCTTCATTCAGATTTCAAGCTCATTCTCAGCTTTGAAATCCAAGAACTTTCACTGTTGGCAACCGGTTTATAATAGATACCAAATGCCACCATATTCCCTGTCTAGTGCACTACTTTTGAGGAGGGCCCATACTGTAGGCTCTGGTCAAAAGTAATGCACTATATAGGGAATAGGGTGCCATTTGGGACACATCCAATGTATGAGTCTAAAGTTACCAGACTTAAGTGCATCCCTACCTCCTGAAGATTGCTTTAGGCTGATATAAAAGATTGGATTATAAAACAGCATGAGAGAGACACAACCCCAAACTATCACATGCCAGAATTGGTTTTTAGTCAGAAGTCAAAAGGAATGGTCAAATGCAGATTTACATTCAGGACAAATTATTGTATTAGACCAAGCTCTATATTAAAATGTGTACATGCTATATTAAAAACAACCCAGCGCTGGATAAATAGTGGACAGAACACATTTTGGGTTATTTTAACACATCCAGTTGGATCATTTAGTTGGGTTGCTTTCTTTGAAGACTGGAGGTGTGGCTTAGTAAGGGCGTGGCTTTCAGATAGTTATTTTTGGCCACCCGTGATAGTAAATGTCATTCTGGTTAATTTGTTCTGTTATATTGCCATCACATGTTAAGATTGAGCACTGACACTTTTGTAGCTTTAATGAGGTTAACAAAAGAGTATGAGTTCCTATGCATATTCCCATTTTGATATATTTACCACTTTGTTATAATATTTAAAAAGTAAATTGTTACATTTATATTAAGATATGTAATATGCAAAAATATTGAAGGAACATTTAGATTTGCAGTGTACGAACTTAACATGATGAACAGGAATTACCTTTACTCTCATGGGTGGCCAAAAATAATTATCTGGAAGCTCCCCCCCCAAGGCCATTTCTCCTTTTAATATAAATGTAATAACATCATTATTTAAATATTATAACAAAGTGGTAACCCTCCCAACATTGGGATATGCATAGGCACTTGAGGAACTCATACTCTTGTGTAAACCTCATAAAAGCTACAAATGTGCTTAACCTTAACATGTGATGACAATACAGAACATGAACCGGAATGACATTTACTCTCATGGGTGGCCAAAAAGAACTATCTGAAAGCCACAGCCTACTAAGCCATGCATCCAGTCTTCTGATCTGACAGGGTGGGTCATAGCTCAATAACCCAGAATCAATAACCCAAAAACCCAACTAAGTGACCCAACTGCTTGGGTCAAAATAACTCAATGTGTGTTCTGTCCAATATTTACCCAAATTGGGTTGTTTTTAAACCAGCATTTTCTGAGTGTAGAGGGTGAGTGAGGTTTTGATTTCTCCTCCCCATCTAGTTCTACCTCTCCCTCTTTCTTCATCCACCAAATGAACATGTTTTGAGCTTTGATTAACATTATAGTGCATGTCATTAAACATCTGTGGCCATTTGTATCAAGCGTCTCAGAGTAGGAGCTCTGATTTAGGATTTTGCATTTAATATCCCAATGAATAAGATTACATGACAGGGGGACCTGATCCTGGATAAGCTGTCCTATACTCTGAGATGCTTGATACATACGGCCCCTGGTTTGTAAAGGTCCAGGTATGTGAAAATCCAGTTCTCATTGAGTGCAGTAAATGAAATGCTATAAAGTGATGCCTGAGGCGATAAAAGATTACAGACAGACAAAGACAGAGTGATCATCCATCTCCAAGCATGAATAAACAATGACTCTCAATTAGGGCTGTGGCGGTCACGATATTTCGTCAGTCTCACGGTAATTGACCGTTAATTAACATAAACAAATGTTGCATCTCCTGGCTTCCACACATAGCCTACAAGCCACTGATTCAGACCTTTGGAACATGTACATTTTAAAAAGTCTAATAATCCATGTAATATAGCCTACACCTTCACAATAAATACATTATTTATTTTAGTCAGGTCTAAAGAGGCATGGTATGAAGAAAATGTCTATTTCAGAAGAACAGAATAGCATACTCTGAGTTGTCCTTATGTTAGGTCCTGATGTGGCTATGCCAAATGGCTGTGGGCTACACTAGTACATTTAGCAGACAAGATTTGCTTAGAATTCCGTGGCATTATTTTATATTACTTTATAGTATGAAGAATACAATTGAACAAAGCTGAATAAAATATACATATTTTCTCCAAACGATTTGAGGGAGTGCGCACATGCGGCTATTCTGTGTTGAGCGGTTAACAAATAAATAGGTACTCCTATATGCTTAATTTAGAGTTATTAATGTAACTTTAGTTGTTCTACAAACGTTGGGCTATATGGTTTGATTTTTAATGCATTTTAAGGCTGCATGATGCGACTAATGATGATTTGAAAAAAGTTGCTTGAAAGGCATGAGCTCTGCTTTGTTTTTTTGCGCAGGCTGTGCACACTTCATTAGTCTCTCATTCACAATTTGACAAGCACTTGATAATGCCTCAAATTTCACGGCAGCATCCCCTTGGTGGCCATAATACAACCTAAAAAAATCCATGCCTTTGTTGTGCCCTTCTCCCTGAGTGCTGCGCTCTCTCATCACGTGATCGGGTAATTTTCACAGGCTACAAGTGAAGACAGACATATCGGGGACACAACTGCGCGCGTCCTTATCCAATTCTGAGGTGCATATTGAAGATATTGGAAGAACTGTCCACATTTACTTTTCGTCAGCCAACAAGATGAGTAGGCCTAACGAACAGCAAAAGCACTAGCCTATGTCAATCTACTATCCACAATAGTACAAAAGTTGACCTATTCTATTCTGTGCAAGAAATAAATATTCCAAACATAGTCTGGGACAGTTATGGGATGCAATAGATCCCAAATTAATACAACCACTAGCACCAAAAAAAAATTTTTTTATGCATTGTGGCTGACACAACAGATCAGAACGTTTAGCTTAAAATGTTGACAAACTATTAGGCTATTTCTTCACATTATAAGCGCAGCAATGCGCACATGGCAGTAGGCTATAAGCGGGAATTTTCCACTATTATCAAAAAAGACCGCAAATGTGATTATGCATGTAATGCTTTTATTATAAAGGTGCATTTTTATGGTGAAAATTATCTTCCCCAAACTTGGAGCTCACGCGCTGCTTATGTACAGTCCTGGTCAAAAGTTTTGAGACTGTCACCAAACTGTTCTTGGATGGTTGGGAGAAGTTGCTCTCGGAGGATGTGTTGGTACCATTCTTTATTCATGGCTGTGTTCTTAGGCAAAATTGTGAGTGAGCCCACTCCCTTGGCTGAGAAGCAACCCCACACATGAATGGTCTCAGGATGCTTTACTGTTGGCATGACACAGGACTGATGGTAGCGCTCACCTTGTCTTCTCCGGACAAGCTTTTTTCCGGATGCCCCAAACAATCGGAAAGGGGATTCATCAGAGAAAATGACTTTACCCCAGTCCTCAGCAGTCCAATCTCTGTACCTTTTGCAGAATATCAGTCTGCCCCTGATGTTTTTCCTGGAGAGAAGTGGCTTCCTCGCTGCCCTTCTTGACACCAGGCCATCCTCCAAAAGTCTTCGCCTCACTGTGCGTGCAGATGCATTCACTCCTGCCTGCTGTCATTCCTGAGCAAGCTCTGCACTGGTGGTGCCCCGATTCCGCAGCTGAATCAACTTTAGGAGATGTTCCTGGCGCTTGCTGGACTTTCTTGGGCGCCCTGAAGCCTTCTTCACAACAATTGAACCTCTCTCCTTGAAGTTCTTGATGATCCGATAAATGGTTGATTTAGGTGCAATCTTACTAGCAGCAATATCCTTGCCTGTGAAGACCTTTTTGTGCAAAGCAATGATGACGGCACGTGTTTCCTTGCAGGTAACCATGGTTAACAGAGGAAGAACAATGATTTCAAGCACCACCCTCCTTTTAAAGCTTCCAGTCTGTTATTCTAACTCAATCAGCATGACAGAGTGATCTCCAGCCTTGTCCTCGTCAACACTCTCACCTGTGTTAACGAGAGAATCACTGACATGATGTCAGCTGGTCCTTTTGTGGCAGGGCTGAAATGCTGTGGAAATGTTTTTTGTGGATTAAGTTCATTTTCATGGCAAAGAGGGACTTTGCAATTAATTGCAAGTAATCTGATCACTCTTCATAACATTCTGGAGTATATGCAAATTGCCATCATAAAAACTGAGGCAGCAGACTTTGTGAAAATTAATATTTGTGTCATTCTCAAAACTTTTGACCACGACTGTATGGCAGTTAGGCTTTAAATCCCTTGTAAAGCGGATTAATGTGCTTAATTTTAAGAAGTTTTTTGGCCACTTTAGTTGTGATACAAACCAAATCAAAACATATAGGCCTATGGGCTAGGCTACATGGGGTGTGCGACTATGATTCGATATATTGTCACCCATCAGACTATTCTTGATTTAATCTTGTCTTTACATATACTAAATAATATATGTGTGAAATATGTTTTGATTTAGAATGGACCATTATCATGCACCCGTCTCGAAACAGGGGCAGCGGGAAAAAATACATGTCATCTATGCACTTAAAATAGCGGATGGAGGACACTTTTCCCGTGATTCATTTTCATGCCAGCCAGGTAGGCTATACTCCTGTTGTAAAGATAAGCAATGTGATTAATATTAGGAAAGTTGAGAAATAAATATAGCAGGCCTAGCCTATAGAAAGCTGATGGGATCCTCCTATTTAGTAGAGGCCATCACTCTGTTTTCTCACGCAATTGCATAGCCTATAGTAATGTTGTTCAACATGAGCTCATGGGCTCTCATGAAGTGTTTGATTCGATTTTCGATTACATTTGCATTGATGTCAGAGTGATTAGAGGGGAAATAGAGTGCTCAGTACCACGCCGTTAGCAAGTTTGGTAGGCTACTAATGACCATGAGCAGCATCAAAGCTTGGAGAAGCCTAATTACCGTGACTAAGCGGTCACGTGGAATTTGACTGCCTTCATGACTCGTGACCGCCGGTGTGGCGGTAATACGGTCACCACAACAGCCCTACTCACAATGAATAAACAATGCATTTATCATAAATTATCAAAGTAAATTTGGATGGCACAAAGTAAGGAAGGGCACAGACTGAGAACATAAAAGCTGTATATGCGTGCTATCTATGCATGGCATGCATTATCCCACTTTCTTCCTTTACCTTCAGGGATTTATAGACAGAGGCTTGCTTCAACCTGTCCTGGTTGAAATTAAACAGGTCGCTCTTTTATCCAAAGGGGGGAGATGGGGAGAAAATCACACCCAGAGTTAGTAGGATGGGGGAACTGAGTATGATTAGGTTTAGCTTTGGTCCAGGACGTCGTTAGTGAGAACGCAGCCGAACAACGGGCTGGACCAGTGCTAGATTAGGTTGTATTAAGTGGTATGAAAACAACAACAATCCATAGAGAATGGAAAAGGAAAAAGGAAGGAGAGAGCCAATAAATAAAGAGAGAGGACTGTCCAAGATATAAATAAGGTATATATATGAACAATAGATAACAACGCAGACATTATAATGAATGGATAATGCAGTATAAAAGAAAAGCTGTATAGAGAAGGAGAATGAAAATTGTCCTTCTATACGGGAGAAGCTATAGAATGAGTTGCTGGGAGGAACTTGTGATAAGGGATGTTGTTTAGCTCAAGCAAATAAGAGATCTGACAGTATTTCAATATTCCCTTACTTAGACATAACTGTCCACTACACAGACACTAAAAGCAACAGCTGTCAACATATCCTTAAAGTAATGCGCCACAAATAGCCCCCTCAATTAAATACCCTGAGACCTTGAAATCAATAGTTCTTGGAAACCATATTTTCCCTGCCTGTACCTTGTTGTTGGATGAAAGATGAAGCACTATCCTCTATCCTGAGTTATTGGAATTATTATTTAGTCTATAAGATAAATATTCATGATCAACCGGGTTCAGAAATTATTGTATAATAATATTATTGGATTTAGAACCATGCAGCAGAGTCAATCGACATGCTTTATGATACAAGACTCACTGCAGCAGGTCTGTTACTTAGCTCTGGTGCAGGGCGTCATTCTGCTGCGCTCCCACTACCTTAGTGATAGTAAGAGCGCAGCCGAACGACGCTCTGCACCAGAGATAGTCTGTTACGGTTCAACCCCACCACACACTGCTAATGCTAACTCTAGGATGCAGAGTACCGGAGGACTCACGAATAAGGTTCTATACATTGAGGTATTGTTCTCACAAAATACTAGGCCAGATGCTCTCCTCTCTTTTAAGTTTCCGCACCCAAAGCTCCCTGTGAAGACGCTCTTTATAGGGAAAGAACAGGGAGAGAAGAAGTTAAATAAAGTATGGCTAAGACGCTAAAGAGGCTAAGACTCTGACAGGCTCATTTAGGAGTTGACTGTCTTGGGCTGATATTGACCCATATCTGTGGGTTAAGGTCAAAGGTAAAAGACAGTGTTGAAGGAGGAGACAAAAAGGAGTTTCAACAGACAGACACACAAATGAATCCATTGAGGTGCTCATGTCATGTTAAAGGTGTGTTGTCCATGTGGAAGACCAGATAGACAGGGTTGAGATGAAAACAGTAAACTATGGCATGTTGATTAAACTTCAGTGCAATGTTTGCACAACTACACCTGAAAATGTGTACTGAAAATGCTTGTTGAGCTGGGTAGAAAATATTTCAGAACATTATTTTCAAGTTCCATTTGGCGTGATTCACAATAGCTCCCTTGGGTGGAGTAGAATATGTCCAGAAATATATTACATTATTCTCTGTATCCTTATTCACATCATGTCATAGGCCAACATTTGTTAACATTAACATGAATGTGTATAGCATGGGGAAATGTTTTATATTCTACAGTAAATGTTATCATGTACAGTATGTCAAATCAACCGCCGTGTAATGTGCTTTTACCTGCAGCAATTCACCTTCAGCAATTCAATACTTTTGCGCCTCACTCCACCACCAGAGCACTCCTTCAACTCAAACCCCTTTAACTGAACAGTCCTGTCATCCAGCTCTACTCACCGGCAGGTTCTTTGCTGAGTCCAAGTACACCACCAGGAGAGCAGATGAGAGTCCATCATTGGCCAGGCTTCTGTCAGCTCGCACGCTCCTCAACACCTGATTGGATAGGAGAGACGGGGGGGTCACTACTGAGACAAACTGGACTAGGAGAAGTGGGCAGCCTTCTAATTCACTTCTAACTGTAATACACGTGACAATAGCAAGACAGAGAGACAGGCTAAGTCAACGTGTTTAAGCTAGCTTTCTAGTACGATGTCATTATAAACACCTGGGCTTGTCTTGAATTATCATACAATTGGGAAGGGGGATAAGAACCGAAATTGAAAAGATAAGGGTTTGCTTGTCTGTGCTATATGGGGCCGATTCCGACCCGATTTAAGCGCACGTAAATGGAACGTAATTCCCTTTTTATATTTATATTTTTTATTCTGACCTTTAACTTAAGCATGAGAATAGCATGCTATTCACCCGCTATTCGTTTCGGGGTGGAGATCTAAGAATTGAAGGTGTGGCGGAGGTGTAGCTACAGATACGCCGTATTCTGACCTTGACTTAATTCCCTCATAATTCCACCACCTTTACGGGCGATGAAATTATGAATAAGGTCGAGCGAACCAAGTGGAAAAATCATCTACTTTCTTTTATTCCGATAGAAATAACAGCATTCTCCATGCACTGTTATTTATAAATGTATAAGAGCATTTGATAAGAGCTAGGTAAATGAGTAATCCATTTGCATACGAGGATTGTAAATACACATAGCAATTGTTTTAGATGATTTTTCCTGATGATCCCTGGAGACAAATATGAAACCAGTCATATGGAAGCAAACTGAAAATATCGTATTGTCGACCCTTTTCCAAAGCGAAGTAGGCTATAAATAGCTGTGCTGATATTCCGAATTTTAATTATGTGCCCTCAATTTGAGTGGATGAAATTTGGAGACCCAAGCCATAGGCTTCTGTAGGGCTGAACCTACTGAGTTGATATATGCGCTTTAGAATGTTTTAATTATATACCCGGGCTTTTCTCCATTTTATTTTACTATTTGTATACATTTATAACAGTCACTTTAGTGTTTGTTTTCTTCAATTTGTAGCTTACATTTTGCATCATTCCATTCCGTTTACCTTTCTTTCCTCTGTCACGTCTGTGTAGTTGTCCCTGAGGGTCGCTAGCATAAGTGGATCATATTAGGCTAACGTTGTGCAATAATTTGGGACATGTAGCCTATTTGAATCATTATGGAACTCAGACCACACGTAGCAGGTTATACATGGAGCCTGGCGCACAGTTCACAATGACTAGAACATTGTCATACAGTTCCATGATTAGTGAGGGTTAGGGTAGATTTTTAGGTCTATTGTTCAACCCTTATTGTACACTGCTTTCTACCTTTCAATATTTAATGGATTGAACTTGAATATGACAACTTTTAGGATGAATCAAACACATATTTTGTGCATAAAGGCTCTCCAAACCAGTTTTTTTAATTATTCACACATACTTTCCTAACCCAAAAATGTGCCTAAATAATCTACAGAATCAGAGTATTCTTTTATCTACCAGTTGGTGCTGAAACGGAGACAAATATGCATATATTTAGATGGCTTTCTTTCATTGATCCCTATATTCTGAACCCGTTCTCTCAATGTATTCTAGTCTGTCGACAAAATTCTAATTAAAGGTAAACCATATTTAAAGGGATGGCTTAAGATAAACGTACTGAAAATCCTATTGAATGAAAATCACGAGAAAATCTGTGGGCCAGCAAGTGGGAGGGTTTTCAGCGGTTGAATTAAATGTATTCAGCGCGCGCAAGGGAACCACGCCGGCAAAGCCTGTTACGCACCTGCATAAAGGAATACCAACTACTGAGAAGTGTGTAGGAAAGGCATGCGTATGAAAGGTGTACATTTCAGCAATTTACTATCTGTGACGTGCTAGATGACTTGTTTAAGATTAATGGAAAAAATCTACTGGGACTGATATGCTTGATCCATTTTATCAAAGTGCACGGCACATTATTATGGGTGACAGTTTTAGCACTCATCTGCATTCTCTACCAGAAAGTTGGCCCTCTTTGATGTCACGTAGGTTGATACATTGCTATGTTTTCATATTTAAAGCCCTTTTACAAAAAGTCCCACTGTACCTAACATCATTACTAAACTTTAGACATAAGAGTTACTGCACCCAGTCTCAGGGATGGCTAACTCTGGAAATTCCTTTGGTCTCTACCGAGTTAGGTAAATCAGCTTTTAGTTTTTTTGCACCATATTTGTGGAACAATCTTTTAAATGTTCTGAAATGTGATGTTTTGGTGCCTCTAGGTCAATTCAGAACGCTGATTGAGGACATTTTTACTGATGAATGTCTTTGTTTTTTATGACCGTGTTTTTCTTTCTGTTTGCTTTTTGTATTTATATTTTGATGTGTGTATTTTCTGTAATTCAGGGCTCATCTGTAAAAGAGACCTTGGTCTCAGTATGACTCACTGATAAAATAAAGGTTAAATAAAAAAAGTAAATAAATGTGTATTGTAGTGTATAGATTTTGTGTATTTTGTATGCTGACTAAATTAATTTCCATGTAAATAAAATCATTTCATATCGAATACTGCACCTGGTCCATCTTTTCAGGTGTGGAGAGCAGAGAGAGCCATTCCAGTTTCAAGTGTAGTTTCCCCGTGGAGACTTCTTCCAGGTCAAACCACTAGAACGACAGGATGTTCAAGGGTGCATTTCAAATGGCACCCTGTTGTATTTATAGTGCACTACTTTTCACCAGGGCTCATAGGGCTCTGGTAAAAACCTAGTGCACTATATAGGGAATAGGATTACATTTGGGACCTACATACCCTAAATCTCAACTGTAGTAGTGATGGATGACAACACAATATCTTCAAATGGACGAAGGCAGATAATATAGTAAGGCAAAATCACTATCCAAGTGCAGAACTGAAGCCAAGCCTCTTGTTCTATTTTCATGTTTTTTCTTCTTCTTTTAACCACATTTATTTGAAGATGAAAAAATATATCGGATCAGCTGGTGGATTTACCTCATCGACCTTCTGCTCTTTGTGAAGCTCCGTCATATCGATCATCAGGCTGCAATCGAAGACACAAAGATTGGATAAGAAATCAGTAGGCAGGATTAATCACAACAGAAGCCAAATTGGTTCACTGATACAGCATGTTGGCACTCCGACCCAGTCAGGGGCCAATAGGGCTCCGGTCAAAAGTAGTGGAATACATTGGGAGTAGGGTGCCATTTGGGACGCAGCCAGCACCCTGCTGGGTGCTATGCTATGCTATCCCCTTGGGATGAGGCCCAAGAAGCAGAGCTTTGATCCAACTCCTAATGTGACTATTGTACACTGATCACAGATACTTAGTACATCACAGATACTTCAATGTGTCTCTTCTCTCTTTCAATGGGCCACCCTTCACTGTGACATATAGGAGGGAGGTTGCGATAGTTCTGCTCCAGGGCGTTACGTGCTGTTTGCTAAAACTGAAGGCTCGGCATCAGCAAGCCGTACGTAACACTCTGGACCAGAGCTAAGTTTGTGATATATTTTCGGCTAGATAAGATAATTTGCTTGATATTGGATACATTAACTCACAATGCAGAGGACTAATAAGCCATTTGAGCATGGGGTGATGAGAAAAAGACACACTGTAAACAATTTCCTGTTGTTTTTACGGTACCTTACAGGCAACTGGATACCTGTAAGTTACTGTAAAACAACAGTACAGTGCAGTATATCACTTGCACTTCTAGAGGCCTTAACAAAGGTAGTGATGGGATGACTGATCCCGTAACTCTGACGCTTCGATGCAGTTTTCGACACAACGTACCGATGCTTGTATCTAAGTAATAATACCACGTGATGATGACGGTTGAAGCTTCGTACGTCACACTACCATCTGACAGGTGTCAGAACTCGGAACTGAGAGCGCCGACCTCTGCTGGAAGCTTTTTCCTTTATCTAGATATTTCACCTTCTTAGCAGGTGGAAAGATAGCTCGGGGCGTAGAGCCACACAGCAGACAAATCTATCATGAAATTGTAGCACACTAGTATTGAATCTTGAGAGAGCCTATTTCAATTTATTTTGATTTTTTTACAGTGATTGTAAATTAAACAGCTGTAGTAGTTGTTATTGGTAATCATCAAATTATGGATCCAAAGTTTTTTGTTAATCTGTAAAAGTGAGTCTAAAAAGTCTCATTCAATCCAAAAGCAAAGTTGACAAGAAGTTACCACGTGATAAATGATGTACAAAGCTTTGTTTGACCCCTTAGTCAGTGGATCCCGCTGTGGCTTCCAAAACGTCGACCTCTACTAGACAATACGTACAGACACTACGTACAGTGTTCTCTATTTCTCACCTTACAGTTGGCTCAGCCTGTAGAGCAGTGGTGAGTGAGTTTCTTGTCTTGTAGAGGCACAGGATTGAATCCCCATAAAGATGTGTTATTTTTGTAAATAGTTTTATTTGAAACACTGGCTACGTTGTACTTCTAACTTTTAAATTATGAGTTTCGATAGGCATAGGCAGTTTTTTATAAATCATACAATGGAGCCAACGTCTTTTGTAAAAAAATTCTTTTTTTTTTAAACTACGTTGCTCGTTTCAAAGCATAGATGGATAGGTTCAAAGTAACATTACCACGTGATCAATGACATCAGAAGCTTTGTTTGATCACGTGCTCTTTTGAACCGTGTGTTGCAAAATCCCAACGATTTAGGTACTGTAAACTAAGCTACCATTTAGATACTGTAAACTGAAGACAATCTAAGTAAATTGGTAAATAAGGTGTCCAGTAGAGGTCGGTGTTTGAAAGCAACTTTGCGTCGAAGAACGCATCGGCACCGCAGCAAAATCAGTGGGATCTCGCATTTTGCAACACACGGTTCAAAAAAGCATGTGATCAAACGAAGCTTCGGATGTCATTGATCACGTGCTTTTTTTAACCGTGTGCTGCAAAATGAGAGATCCCACTGATTTCGCCATGGTGCCGATGTGTTCTTCGATGCAAGGTTGCTTTCTTGAGACTAGTTGAGTATCTGGAGCATCAGCAATTGTGGGTTCGATTACAGGCTCAAAATGGCCAGAAAAAAATAACTTTCTTCTGAAACTCGTCAGTCTATTCTTGTTCTGAGAAATTAAGGCTATTCCATGTGAGAAATTGCCAAGAAACTGAAGATCTCATACAACGCTGTGTACTACTCCCTTCACAGAACAGCGCAAACTGGCTCTAACCAGAATAGAAAGAGGAGTGGGAGGCCCCGTTGCACAACTGAGCAAGAGGACAAATACATTAGAGTGTCTAGTTTGAGAAACAGACGCTTCACAGGTCCTCAACTGGCAGCTTCATTAAATAGTACCAGTCTAAACGTGAAGAGGCGACTCCGGGATGCTGACCTTCTAGGCAGAGTTGCAAAGAAAAAGCCATATCTCAGACTGGCCAATAAAAATAAAAGATTAAGATGGGCAAAAGAACAGACACTGGACTTTTTCTTTGTAACTCTGCCTAGAAGGTCAGCATCCAGGAGTCGCCTCTTCACTGTTGACGTTTAGACTGGTGTTATGCGGGTACTATTTAATGGACAAGAATAGACTGATGAGTTTCAGAAGAAAGTTATTTGTTTCTGGCCATTTTGAGCCTGTAATCGAACCCACAATTGCTGATGCTCCAGATACTCAACTAGTCTCAAGGCCAGTTTTATTGCTTCTTTAATCAGCACAACAGTTTTCAGCTGTGCTAATATAATTGCAAAAGGGTTTTTCTAATGCTCAATTAGCCTTTTAAAATGATAAACTAGGATTTGCATATACAACGTGCCACTGGAACACAGGACTGATGGTTGCTGATAATGGGCCTCTGTACGCCTATATATTCCATAAAAAAATCAGCCGTTTCCAGCTACAATAGCCATTTACAGCATTAACAATGTCTACACTGTATTTCTGATCAATTTGATGTTATTTTAATGGACAAATACATTGTTTTTCTTTCGAAAACAAGGACATTTCTAAGTGACCCCAAACATTTGAGCGGTAGTGTACGTACCAACGCTCGCACCTATCCATTCCACCACAAAGTTTCAATGGATACAATGGAAAAACTAGTCTATATAAAAATCAAACATGCTGATATTTATTCCTGAGCAGCAGATGTCATTAATGTGCACTGTGCTAAAAGTAGTGATGTTACATTTGACACCGGAGCTCCAAGGTACACGTTGAAATCGCTAAGCAGTGTACTTCAAAGCAGCACTTTATCAGAAGCAGGTGATCAATGACGTCCGAAGCTTCGTTTTGTCGAACAACCACCTGATTGGTTTGCTATTGGTTTGGTCGAAGACAAAAAGGTTACGCTGCGCACACGCTAGGAGGTGTGGGACGTCGTCTATAATAATTTGGCTGCTCTAAATTATTTTGACCAGCAGGTACCACTAGTGTACAATGTGTTGATCAAAGCCTTGAGTAATGAAACTATTTTTGACACAATTGGCTGGTAAACCTCAAGGCTTCAGGAAGCTTAGTTTCTCCATCACTAGCTAAAAGCTCAGAGTAATGAACTGTTTCTCGGCACAATTTGGTGTAAGCCCCAAAGGGTTCAGAAAGCCTCGGTTTCCCATCACTAAACAAAAGCTTCCAAACTGGCAGTGACTACAGACCAAAGGAGATGGCAAATACTCAACCATTAAAGGTTTAAGACTTGCTGCCACCAAATATAAGTTAAATTGGTACAGCACTCTCACTAATGGGTGGCACAAATGTAGCCTCATACTTGGCACGCCTCAAAATATGTTAATGAGCCAGTAACAACAATAACATGCACCCACTAGTGGTCAAAAGGTTTTTGTTGCTCCATAAATACGGTAAGCTACTGTTTACTTTGGGGTGGAATTACAAGTCATTTGAAATACAGCAACAACAAAAAAATTATCTTACTTTAGAGGATGTGCTTTGATTTTGACCTTGTGCTTTTTGTGTGGTGTTCTATTTTGAACATTCACAAATACAGTAAGTGAACTTCTATTGTATTTTACATATAATATTTTACGGTAAAGTCCACAATACATCAAATATTTCCCGGCTGTTGAACATTTTTCCACAATGTATTGTAATTTACGGTAATCTATTGTATTCAGCTTATACAATAAGACACAGTCGATAAACAGTAATTTACCGTGAAAATAACAGGATGGTTTTACAGTGCAGGATATGAGCTTACCTCCCCAGGAAATCATCTTTGTCTGGGTCCTCATCAAACAACTCAATCTCCAGATGTTGACCTGAGTGCTCATATACCAGGGCCTGACAAGGACAAGGACATAACTCAATTCAATCTCAGATACAGTAGTTCACATTGAATACAGCCAAAGGGCTTGTAAAAAATGACATGGTGGGTAAAACAGCATGAAAGCCAAAAATAAGAGGAAATATTGGACTGTTGGAAATATGTACACTACCGGTCAAAAGTTTTAGAACACCTACTCATTCAAGAGTTTTTCTTTATTTTTACTATTTTCTACATTGTAGAATAATTGTGAAGACATCAAAACTATGAAATAACACATATGGAATCATGTGGTAACCCAAAAAGTGTTAAACAAATCAAAATATATTTGAGATTCTTCAAATAGCCACCCTTTGCTTTGATGACAGCTTTGCACACGCTTGGCATTCTCTCAACCAGCTTCACCTGGAATGCTTTTCCAACAGTCTTGAAGGAGTTCCCGCATATGCTGAGCACTTGTTGTTGGCTTTTCCTTCACTCTGCGGTCCGACATCCCAAACCATCTCAATTTGGTTGAGGTCGGGGGATTGTGGAGGCCAGGTCATCTGATGCAGCATTCCAATACTCTCCTTCTTGGTAAAATAGCACTTACACAGCCCCACTAAGCCCAAACCAGATGGGATGGCGTATTGATGCAGAATGCTGTGGTAGTCATGCTGGTTAAGTGTCCCTTGAATTCTGAATAAATCACAGACAGTGTCACCAGCAAAGCACCCCCACACCATTACACCTCCTCCTCCATTCTTTACGGTGGGAAATACACATGCAGAGATCATACGTTCACCAACATCGCGTCTCACAAAGACACGGCGTTTGGAACCAAAAATCTCAAATTTGGACTCCAGACCAAAGGACACATTTCCACCGGTCTGATGTCCATTGCTCGTGTTTCTTGGCCCAAGCAAGTCTCTTCTTCTTTTTGGTGTCCTTTAGTAGTGGTTTCTTTGCAGCAATTCAACCATGAAGGCCTGATTCACACAGTCCCCTCTGAACAGTTGATGTTGAGATGTGTCTGTTACTTCAACTGTGAAGCATGTATTTGGGCTACAATTTCTGAGGCTGGTAACTTATCCTCTACAGCAGAGGTAACTCTGGGTCTTCCATTCCTGTGGCGGTCCTCATGAGAGCCAGTTTCATCATAGCGCTTGATGGTTTTTGCGACTGCACTTGAAGAAACTTTCAAAGTTCTTGAAATGTTCCGTATTAACTGACCTTCATGTCTTAAAGTAATGATGGACTGTCGTTTCTCTTTGCTTATTTGAGCTGTTCTTGCCATAATATGGACTTGGTCTTTTACCAAATAGGGCTATCTTCTGTATAGCCCCCCTACCTTGTCACAACACAACTGATTGGCTCAAATGCATTAAGAAGGAAAGAAATTCCACTATTTTCTACATTGTAGAATAATAGTGAAGATGTCAAAACTATGAAGTAACACATATGGAATCATGTAGTAACCCAAAAAGTGTTAAACAAATCAAAATATATTTTATATTTGAGATTCTTCAAATAGCCACCAGAAACCCTTGACTGAGTAGGTGTTCTAAAACTTTTGACCGGTAGTGTACATGTAAGTTGTATCTGGTTCTACATACCCTATATTAATATCACTGGGGTAGTTAGCACAGAAGGGGCAGATATCATTGATGTTACTGCCCCTGAGGCAGTTATTGTATAATATAACCATATTTTGCGGTTTTGGTTGATGTTCCATTGGAAGAGTTAATTTTTCAGTATATTTTGTTCACCTCGTAAACTTCGTTCCATTTGGGGTGCAGGCTCTCTTTGACCGTCTTGCTCTGGAAGAGCTGGTTGCCAATCTGGAGGACGCCGTAGGGGTCAGACTTCCCCTTGATCAGCCCGCCCAGGAATTTATCCTTCCCCTCCAGGTCCTGAGCCTCCAGGAAGTGAATCCTCAGGACTCCCTGGTGACACACACAGCAAAGGGACACTTCAGGAAATGGACACTTTAAAATAGTACACAGCGACACTGTAGCTCTTTCCTGTAGTCAATGACCGAATGCGCCCTCTTTGGCCTCATGGGTGGAATATTTTAAATATTTTTTCATAATTAATAAAGATTACTTAAAAAACCTGAAGAAAATCCAGTGTTTATGTCAAACAGTTTCGCTATATTTCAGTCTTCTGTGATGTATATAAAGTGTAATATTGGGATGCAAACTCAAAATTGAATACATTTAAACTCTATATCTGACATGGTACAGGTGTCTTCTTTTTTTAAGCCCATAACCATGTGTGAGGTGTATAAGAATCACTCTGTGTGACCCTGATTTAGCCCACTGCAGTAAAAAGGTTTTAAAGGGACATTGCACTTTCATATAAAAGTTTATCCAATGATTTCTGACCTCTAAAGTAGTCTTTAGTCAAGATGAAACCATGTACCACAACATCGGTTGTGTAGATCCATCTATAGGCCTCTACCACAAATGAATGGAAAAGATAAGCACTCAATAAAACCAGGGAATTAGAGGATGCGTATATTTTCTATTCATTTGGGGTGAAGGCAAATAGCTGGATCTACATAGAAACCAATTTAGTGGAAGATAGTTTCATCTTGACATTAGTCTACTTTTGAGGTTTGAAATAATTTGACAAACGTTATTTTATGAGTTAAATGTCCCTTTAAGACCAAACAGAGGAACAGAGGAACCATAGGCCTTGGAGCTGAGTCAAACGCAATCACTGCTTCACTGATAACCAAACAGCACAATAAGGATATAAGTAGTGATGTTATATTTGATACCGGAGCTCCGAGGCATGTATCGAAATCGCTAAGCAATGTACTTTGAAGCAGTGTGCCGATGCCTGTATCAATTTATCAGAAGCACATTATCAATGACGTCCGAAGTGTCGTTTCGTCGAACAACCACCTGATTGGTTTGGTATTGGTTTGGTAGAAGACAAAAACACTACGCTGCGCGTAGTGTGGGACGTGTGGGAGTGTGGGACGTCGTCTATAATAATTTGGCTGTTCCAAATTATTTTGACCAGCAGGTGCCACTAGTGTACACTGTGTTCATCAAAGCCTTGAGTAATTAACCTTTTTTTGACACAATTGGCTGGAAAACCTTAATGCTTCAGGAAGCTTTGTTTCCCCATCACTACCTATCAGGATCATCATACATGCAGAATATTTGGTATTTGGTATTTATTAGGATCCCCATTAGCCGCTGCAAAAGCATCAGCTACTCTTACTGGGGTCCACAAAAAATGTGATGATGGATTTGGTGGCAGACGGGTGTGCTCTGCTAATACGAACACTGTTAATTAAAGGGTTACTTTCCACAAAAACATATTTTAGTATTTTGTTTATTAGTCCACTGTTGATATGGTCTCAAAAATTGTGCATGCCATAACACTAAACAAAATCCGAAAAATATGTGTTCCTTTAATTAGTGTGTGAAATATGATAATGATGTATGATTAGATATAGGATAGATGAAGGGCTGCAGTACCTTTGGCATAGGGAAGCGTAGCTGAGCCAGTTCTATATCTCCCACTAGTGGGATAGTGATGCGGTTGGGCAACACCAGGTAGCTGTAGATGATGTCCTGAATCAGACTGTCTGAGAAGCCACTGGGAAAAACAAAACACAACAAACCTCACAGTCAGTGAGTACGACCTTTGGATATAATTATTGGAAGGGGTTCAAGCATGTTGTTGGAGTAAATTACAAACCTCAAAATATCACTGTGATCCCCTGGGGAGTCAACACTTAGCAGTGAGGATGTCACTGAGCAGGAGGTCTTACGACCTGAGAATTACAATGCCTTGTAAGGGAAATCGATAGCTAAGAGTGGTCTAGTAACTGATGAGAGATTTTCTGTTAACCTTTAAGCTATCCACTTGGGTTTGATTCTGTAAACATAAATACATTTATGAGAGGGTTCAAGCAATCTGTAAAAATGAAACATATATTTTTATATACCCATTCCTTCACTCTTTCTCTCTCATTTCTCTAAGAAGGCTTCTCAAGAAACATATTTATCATTTTATCCTATAATTTCTCTTGCAGCTGAGCAGAAAGCTAGAGCACTTCTCTGGGGGCAGATTAAGCAGCATTACAGGGAACATGATTCTTCTTTAGTATGTGATCGTTCTTGTGTAACACATACACGTACACACACACACCGTGTAGAGAGCTTCATGCAGTATCAGCTGTTATTGTTCCCCTGACCTTGCGGTGGGACACAGAGCTAGGTCATACAAAAAAAATAATAACACTACACCACAACTGTCAGACAACCTGTGTTGAATAACATCAAGGGGATATGAGAGTGAGAGGGCGAGAGAGAGGGAAAAAGAGAGAGAGGGAGAGAGCGAGAGAGAGAGGAGGGGGGGGGGGGGTCTTTGGAGGGGATGGGTGGTTTTATCTACTCTGTGATACAGTAGACTCCACCCCTCCAACATACAGCTGGCACTGTCTATCGCTTGTGGTTGAGAGCTTGTCTCTGTGACTGTCATTTCTCTGCTGCCCGGGCCTGTCCTGTCCTATCACTAACCCAGAGGCAGGCACACCTCCCCCCCATCCCCCACCCCCTAGCCCATGAACCGGGCATGTGCCACTGAGCCTCCACAAACAGGCTCACAGTGTACTGACTACACATATCTATTACACCCCTACAGAGAAATAGCAGTGGGGGGATGGGCGGTTATGCTCTGTAGAATCAGGGAGATGATTTCCATCACTGAGCTGCGGATGTGTCAACACCCGTGTCTAAATCAATAGACTGTGAGGAGGAGAGTGGCTGTATCATGAAATCTTTATTAGGGACATTTTCCACCGCCGCAGTAGCGTTAACATAAGGTTTAAACACCAGAAGCCACTGTCAACTCACAACAATATAAAAACTAAGAATTGACTGTGGATAATACAAATTATGCCTGGTCTGCAGAGAAGGCAAAGGTTATCTGCTCTTTGAATGCCATGAGAACATTGTATTGGTCTCTTTACCAGAAGAGGGAAATCTATTCTATTGAATCCATTATGGAAGTCATGAATTGTGCTTGTTTCACCAGCAATCAGTGCTCTATTTATTTACATTTTAGTCATTTAGCAGACGCTCTTATCCAGAGTGACTTACATGAGCAATTAGGGTTAAGTGCCTTGCTCAAGGGCACAGACAGATTTTTTACCTAGTCGGCTCGGGGATTAGAACCAGCGACCTTTCGGTTACTGGCACAACGCTCTTAACCACTAAGCTACCTGCCGCCTTTATGTGTCTATGTGACTCTGATGTGTTTGTTGTTGCTGTTTGTGTATTGCTAGTGAGTGGTGACAAATCCAATTTCCCCTTTTGGGATTCAATTCAATTCAATGCAAGTAGTAGCACTGCCATACCCCAAAACAATTTAAAGATAACACAAGAAAAGTGCAAACTTATTAGCCAATGCCTCTTTACAGTCTACTTTATTCTACACTAAAGTGTAACAGTTACTCTTAATAAGCAGATCATCCAATGTGCTCTTTCATTTAAATGAGCCCTAAGAAATCCCCAAGTCCCCTCCCCATTACCACATCATTTTAGAGTTGAGAGATGTGCGGATGAAGATTATTTTAGCAACCCCAGAGAGTTGGTGGAGTGGCGCAATTTAAATATCTATAAAGTCAGAGATGAGTTGCACAAATGAAAAAAACATAAAAACCATCTTGCTTTCTAAGCTGTGTGAGCTTTTTTTTAGCCCTGCCAGGCAGGCATGTGTTGCTATGAGCATTTCATGGACTGAAAGCCTAACAGCCATAGGGCGATGGTCACTCTAGCTGTCGTCCTCCTGCTACCTTAAAAAACGCTCCAATCACATACAACAACCCCAAGAGGAAAATACCTACTATAAAACCTGTATGGGTACTAATCACACCTGAAAGTAGTGAAAGCTTGGCCTGACAAAAGAGGGTGTAGAGTGAAGTTGCCCCTACATGTTGATCTTGGGTACGTTTTAGATTTTCCCCACACAGAAAATTCTCCAGTGTTAAAAAAATTGAAATTGACACTGAAAGTGTTGAGTATTTGGACTCATATAGACACCGGGACAGTGTTAAATTAACACACTGCTTTGTGTAAAGCCTTATTCCAATATTTCGCAGAGCGCCTTGCCTTACGAGTACATTTCAGAGTTGCCACCCATGACTGTATTTGTTAGTGACAGAGACATAGTTGTTGCATTCAAACATTTTCAGTCCTGTGGACTTCACCAAGTAAGATCCTAAATGAATATGTCATCATAAAAAATTTAACAAGTAACACAATACCATACGTATTTCATAAGGCCTAATTTTGAGGGCCTAGTTTACCCTAATACATGGACCTGAAACTCATAAACATCACTTTGAACCAAAACCATGCCAATCATTATCATATTTCCCAGCATGCTGTTTTGCAGGTAGGTTTCAATATTTATGTTTGTGCATTGATTTGTTGATTCATTAATTAATATTATGCTACTCAAATATAAATTACTAACATTTTCTAAACTAATCCAATATGTTACTTGGACTTATTGCACCCCTTACTGAAATGGTTGTTCCAGTTTAGATGCTTTAGGTAGTCTCATAGCTTATTCTTCCCAACACTGGCAGTATTCTGAATACAAGTTGAATATCCCCACATTGGCTCAGTTCCAATGGGAATTACACATCACCTTGCAAGCCAGCATATCTAAACCATGAGGTTTAGATTTGTTCCTGTAGGGGTACAAAAGCGTGTCACTGTAGCGGTAAAGTAACCCTTTATACCTTTAGTTAAAAGTGCAAGTAGGGTTGTAAAATTCCAGCGATTACCCCCAAAATACCAGATTTTCTAAAAATCCTGGTTGAAGGATTTCAGATTTCCTGCTTCCAGCTCCAAGAAACTTCCAACCATGTATTCTGGAAAACCTGGGAATGTTACCAGAATTTGGCAAACCTACCAGCAAGTCACATTATGCTGGGTTGCAAAGTGACAAGTAATTCCTATTTGAATCCAGACAGAGCTAAGCTATCTAACAGTTGGAATTTTTATTAACCTGCAACCAATCACAATGAGTGTCATGTTACAAACATTGTGAGGAGACTACCTAAGGCATTTAAACTGGAACAAACATTTCAGTTACGGGTGCAAAAAATATAACTAACTGATTGGATTAGTTTAGAAAAATGTTATTTCTCTTTGTGTAGCATAAGATTTATCAATTAATCAATAAATCAATGTACATGCACAAACGGAGATATTGAAACAAACAAAACAACTAAAGCATTATGAAACGTCTATTCGATCAAATAAGTAGGAAATAAGCCATAAATGTTTTTGTTGACCAAATTCGACACTCATTGACCTCCATACAAAAACTCCTTGCTTGGTGGGCAAAACAATGAAAAAACACCACCTGCTGGAGGGAGACAGATTTTAAGCCGAGTTGGGCCTCTCTCTCAATAGTGTGCAACTGCAGCACGCCCTGCAGGAACGCCCCGAATTGCAGGCCGCAATTGCACCCTTCTCCTCTCTCTTCCTCTTCCTCTCTGACCACACCAAACAATTAATTGAACAGCAGCCATCATCTATGGACCAGCAGTATGCGTCATTGATCAAGTGATTTGTCTTCCTATGTACTTTGATTTTTTCTATAGTTTCTGGGTTATCAGATGATGTTCTTGAACATTACTTTTGATGCTCTACTGCCCTATTGCTTGCCTATGGCTACTTAGCTTCAGCATTTTACATATTGTTCATGTAAGTTTAAGCCATTTCAGTATTGCTACTTATAGCACCCTTTTGAGTAGCATTATATGGGAAATGTGTATTGATTAATTGTGCCAGGGTAATTGTAGCTTATTGTGGATTTATGTTTAACTGTCACTTCTTTCCATTGTTCCTAGAACCATACTAGATACTATTACATCAATGTTCTCTGATCACTGACCTCTGCCAAAATAAAACGGATCAAAGTGATCAAAGAGAAGCCCTTTGGCGGCCATCACCATTCCCACTAAAATCAGCCATACAGTCCTTTCAAAACTAGACCATTTCTTACACTGTCAGTGTTTTTCTTAACACTGGAGAATTTTCGGTGCACTAACGGTGGTTAGAATTGGGGGAGGGGAAGCTGATCCTAGAGCTGTACCTAGGGGAAACTTCACGCCGGAGCACAAAAGAGACTCAGTTTACTTACTTGAGCCCAGGAATGTCTAGTATATTGGTGAGGCCTGTCCAGTTGATTTCCAGAAGCTAGATGAAAACAAAAGAAAGGATTTAGCGGTCTGGAAACTGGAAGAACATGCTGTACATTGAAAGATTAATTAGCCACACCAGTGCTTTTCTTTTTACTTACTTAAGTGATCTAAAAACAAACCACATCTTTTAAAAGGGAAAAATGCAGACAGGGACACCAGGCAGAAAGAGTAGGGATTGATTCAAGCACGTAACTTTATTGTTGTGTGACTCAGTCATCAGAGTGAGGGACAGTGTGTCGGTGCAAAGCTCTTGATGATTAAAAACAGAAGATAGCATTCTGACAATGGTGGGTGCAGCAAAGTGAAACAGAAGCCAAGAAAGCTAATTGCTTTGCCTCTAGCTAAATAAACCAATTTCATCATAAACCTGACATTTTTACACACTAAAAACGACAAGATGGTGTGTCAACACAAGCATGTTTTTAGCTGCAATTGTACCCTATAGTTAGCCTGGTAGAACTAGCTTTACCGCTAAGTTCACCATTCTGTGGTGAACGCAGCAATCAGGTTGGTTCCACCAGGCTACCCTATAGTTAAATACCGTACCTAATTGTTTCACTTGTTTCAGCTGTCTCTTATCTCGCCTACTGTTGAAATGGGGACACACAGCCTTGTACAGTATGTATATGAGTCATACCCAGGTCACTGACACCAGAGATACCGGCCACAGATTGGACAAACACTTAACCTGCTGAAAGATGTATTACAAAAACAATCCTCTTGAACCACTTCCATATACAGGAGCTGTTGTCCCAAACTGCACCCTATTCCCTAAGTAGATTCCCTAGCGCACAACACAGGGAATATGATGCCATTTGGAATGCACACAGGGTCTATTGAGAACAGGGACTGTATTATTCCATGGAAAGTCTCTTACCTAAAGGTTCTGTGAATATAAAGTGTTATAACAATGTTAACATTGCTGCTTAGAGCAAAGGGGGACAATGCCTGTTTGAAATCACACTGCATATTTGGTAAAAGAGAGACACCACAGCTAAGGCAGAAAAAGTATCCTCTCTCTCTCTCTCTCTCTCATTGCAGCAGATATAGTTTTGAGCAAGGACTGACTGGAACACTGCAAGGTAATCAAAGTAGCCATATGGTGCATTTCCACTGCATGGATTGGTACCATTGTTTGGCCAAAATATGTTGCCTTTTGTGTATAAAACTGGTGCTGAGACCCCAAAAAGCCGGAGTCTCACCAGTGCTGCAATAGAGAAGCCGTATATAGCAGGTACTGTACTGTAGCAGTGAACAGGCAGAGCGCACTACAACAAAAAGGATGCTGGGATAAAAACAACCCAATTTGGATAAATATTGGACAGAACACACGTTGGGTTATTTTGACCCTGCAAGTTGGGTCACTTAGTTGGGTTATTGATGTGGGGTACTGAGCTATGACCCACCGGGTCAGATCAGAAGAATGGAGGCATGGCTTAGTAGGGGCGTGGCTTTCAAATATACTGAACAAAAATATAAATGCAACATGTAAAGTGTTGGTCCCATGTTTAATGAGCTGAAATAAAAGATTTTGTGCACTAATTTGTTTACAGCCCTGTTAGTGAGCATTTCTCCTTTGCCGCGATAATCCATCCACCTGACAGGTGTGGCATATCAAGAAACGGATTAAAGAGCATGATCATTACGCAGGTGCACCTTGTGCTGGGGACAGTAAACGGCCACTCTAAAATGTGCAGTTTTGTCACACAACACAATGCCACAGATGTCTCATGTTTTCAGGGAGAGTGCAATTGACATGCTGACTGCGGGAATGTCCACCAGAGCTGTTGCTAGAGAATTTAATACCATGAGTCGCCTCCAACTTTGTTTTAGAGAATTTGGCAGTACGTCCAACCGGCCTCACAACCACAGACCACGTGTAACCACGCCACCCCAGGACCTCCACATCCGGCTTCTTCACATGCGGGATCGTCTCAGGGGGGAAGGAAGTGGTGAGGAGTATTTATGTCTGTAATAAAGCCCTTTTGTGGGGAAAAACAAATTCTAATTGGATGGGCCTGGCTCCCAAGTGGATAGGCCTATGCCCACCCAGGCCCACCCATGGCTGCGCCCCTGCCCAGTCATGTGAAATCCATATATTAGGGCCTAATGAATTTATTTATATTGACTGATTTCCTTATATGAACTGTAACCCAGTAAAATCTTTGAAATTGTTGCATGTTGCGTTTATATTTTTGTTCAGTGTAATTCTTTTTGGCCGTCAGTAAATGTCATTCTGGTTCATGTTCTGTTGTATTGTCATCACATGTTAAGGTTGAGCACTGACACTTTTGTAGATACCTGCTCCCCAGGCACCGGATGTCAATTAAGGCAGCCCCCCGCACCTCTCTGATTCAGAGATAATTCCTTTCCTGGGACTCAAAAGAGGAAGCGACGGCGCAAGTGAGACTGACAAGAGTCGTGGCTGAACAAGGACATGGATAATATACATCTCACTGGTTTTTCCATGCATCGTCAAGACCGGTCGGCAGCCCTGGGTAAGGGGGAGGTGTGTGTGTCTTTCTTAAAAGTTTACACCAGGGTTCTTCAATTCCGGTCCTGGAGGGCCGAAACACCTCTGTTTTTCATCCTCTCCTTCTAATCAGGGGCTAATTCAGACCTGGGACACCAGGTGAGTGCAATTAACTACCAGGTAGAAATAAAAAACAGAAGTGTTTCGGCCCTCCAGGACCGGAATTGAAGAACCCTGGTTTACACTATTCATCTAGATCAGGGTTGCCCAACCCTGTTCCTGGAGAACTATCCTCCTGTAGGTTTTCGCTCCAACCCCAGGTGTTACTAACCTGATTCATCTTATCAACCTGCTAATTATTAGAATCAGGTGTGCTAGATTAGGGTTGGAGCAAAAACCTACAAGACGGTAGCGCTCCAGGAACAGGGTTGGGCAGTCCTGATCTACAGTCGTGGTCAACAGTTTTGAGAATGACACAAATACTAATTTTCACAAAGTCTGATGCCTCAGTTTTGATGATTTGCATATACTCCAGAATGTCATGAAGAGTGATCAGATGAATTGCAATTAATTGCAAAGTCTCTCTTTGCCATGAAAATGAACTTAATCCCCAAAAAACTTTTCCACTGCATTTCAGCCCTGCCACAAAAGGACCAGCTGACATCATGCCAGTGATTCTCTCGTTAACACAGGTGAGAGTGTTGACGAGGACAAGGCTGGAGATCACTCTGTCATGCTGATTGAGTTAGAATAACAGTGGAAGGTTTAAAAGGAGGGTGGTGCTTGAAATCATTGTTCTTCCTCTGTTAACCATGGTTACCTGCAAGGAAACACATGCCGTCATCATTGCTTTGCACAAAAAGGGCTTCACAGGCAAGGATATTGCTGCTAGTAAGATTGCACCTAAATCAACCATTTATCGGATCATCAAGAACTTCAAGGAGAGAGGTTCAATTGTTGTGAAGAAGGCGTCAGGGCGCCCAAGAAAGTCCAGCAAGCGTCAGAACCGTCTCCTAAAGTTGATTCAGCTGTGGGATTGGGGCACCACCAGTGTAGAGCTTGCTCAGGAATGGCAGCAGGCAGGTGTGAGTGCATCTGCACGCACAGTGAGGCGAAGACTTTTGGAGGATGGCCTGGTGTCAAGAAGGGTAGCGAGTAAGCCACTTCTCTCCAGGAAAAACATCAGGGGCAGACTGATATTCTGAAAAAGGTACAGGGATTGGACTGCTAAGGACTGGGGTAGTCATTTTCTCTGATGAATCCCCTTTCCGATTGTTTGGGGCATCCGGAAAACACCTTGTCTGGAGAAGACAAGGTGAGCGCTACCATCAGTCCTGTGTCATGCCAACAGTAAAGCATCCTGAGACCATTCATGTGTGGGGTTGCTTCTCAGCTAAGGGAGTGGGCTCACTCACAATTTTGCCTAAGAACACAGCCATGAATAAAGAATGGTACCAACACATCCTCTGAGAGCAACTTCTCCCAACCATCCAAGAACAGTTTGGTGACGACCAATACCTTTTCCAGCATGATGGAGCACCTTGCCATAAGGCAACAGTGATAACTAAGTGGCTCGGAGAACAAAACAATTTTTGGGTCCATGGCCAGGAAACTCCCCAGACCTTAATCCCATTGAGAACTTGTGGTCGATCCTCAAGAAGCGGGTGGACAAACAAAAACCCACAAATTCTGACAAACTCCAAGCATTGATTATGCAAGAATGGGCTGCCATCAGTCAGGATGTGGCCCAGAAGTTAATTGACAGCATGCCAGGGCGGATTGCAGAGGTCTTGAAAAAGAAGGGTCAACACTGCAAATATTGACTCTTTGCATAAACTTAATGTAATTGTCATTAAAAGCCTTTGACACTTACGGAACGGAATGCTTGTAATTACACTTCAGTATACCATAGTAACATCTGACAAAAATATCTCATAACACTGAAGCAGCGAACTTTGTGAAGACCAATACTTGTGTCATTCTCAAAACTTTTGACCACGACTGTAGATACTTATATGTTTCCCCTTTCATCTGGTGTTAGCTAGTTACTGGCTAGCTAGGTCTTCAGCCAGCATGGAACAAAAGGGGGGGAGGGTCTTTAAAAACTCTGACGCAGTTGTCATGTCAGCACATCCGTCAGTGCTGCTGTGAATGACAAAAAATTGGTTTACTTCATTGATGCAATTTCAATTTTTGAGTTGCTGTATGTATCACCAAATTTGCTTGAGATGATGTTACTGCAACACTGCTCACTATATCCAAGTTTCTTGATATAGCTGTGTCAAAGAGCTGTCACTCAAGTGAGCTCATGAATATAAGCTCCCCGCAAACTCAGCCTGTCTTTTCAAACTTCCCGGTAGTTAGCCATGAGAGAAAAAGTAATTTTTCGCAAATATTTAGAATTTCTATACCCCAAAAATATTATGGGTGGTATTTTAGTCACTCAAAAGGTTGTTTTACATGGGAACAGTGGCGGCTCCTGAAAAAATTCTCAGGAGGGGCAATTTTTCTGATGATTTAGG